TTTTTAATACCCCCAAAATTTTATTGATTGTTCAACCGATTACAATCTGTGATGAAAACTCCTCGGTCTATCTCCATATATGTATACCACTTATGAGTAAGAGGAAAACTATGCATGAGTAGATCTTCTTCGTAAACTGAAAAAGAGGAAACTGTAGGCTGGAATAGCAGCTTAGACCCAATGAATGAAGAGAGGGAGGAGTGAAGGGGGTAGATTCAGTTAGTAGTCCACTGTTTCACATGCATGCGGAATTATTACTCAAACTGAGTGTCATAACTTCGTCTGGGCTGTTTACTCGAGTGTATTGTTCAAATCCTCCTACTTGTGTTAATTTTCACCTAATTTCAATCATTTACTTCGTATAATTGATAAATGCTATGCAAAATTTAAGCAAAATTGAGCACAATTAACTCAGTTTGCTGTCGTGGAGCCAGGTTCAAAAGATTTCAGAGAACAGAGCGCATTGGAGACGTGCTACTGAAGCCCTATATTCCATTAGGAACCGAAGGGATTAATAATAATAATAATAATAATAACTCAGTTTGTGGAACACCGAGCTGGTAACTCGGAGGCCACTAGTTCTAATCCTACCGCCAACTGGGTTTTCATTCCTCCTTTAATCATCATCTCAGTATCAATAATATCAGTCTGAGATACCATACCTATCCCAAATGGTCTTATTGATTAGCAATAAGTCATGTGAATCCATTTTATGACATTTGTGTTTCAAGAAAATGGCATATTATAAATTTTCAGTTATTTTCTTATGGGTAGTTTTTCTTATTTTATTCCTGTTCTTTTTGTGTGTGTTTTGTCTCCTAAGCATATTTGCTATCTCTTTTTGTTGTTCTGTTATGGATAAGTGAATCAATCCTTAGAAAATTAGGTAATTAGTGAAAAAAATATAGCTTGCATAATTCATTTGTTAACCTTGTCATCCCAATCTGTCTGGGCCGAGATTCACAGGGTTAGTTAATGCACACTAGTCTCATCGACACATAAAGCTGGATAAGTGAAGTCTGGTAATGTTGATGGGACAGTCATATATAGTGTAAGGTGTGTCGTTGTTGTTTCATCGCCTAAAGGTATGCAAATACATATCTAGATATGAACTGATAACAAGTATTACACGAGGACATATTTCGATATATCGATAAACCATTTGTTTTTCCTGCTCATGAAAATCTGAGTAGCTTTCACCTTACACTTTCTTAGGTTTTGAACTCAGGATGAGAAAATGTATTAACTTTTTGGACATTGAAGCTGCTTCTTATGTTCAATATTTCTTGATGTAGTAGGTTTTGGTGTAGAACTAACATTACTTCCGATGTCGATCATCTTAATTATGAAATGTATCATTTTGGGGATCATATTCAGGTGATTAAGGCTGATGTTTATTCCTGTGGACTTGAATCAACATCTACTGGATAGATTTCTATTAACCTGAATGCAGTATATAGGTTGTATCATAAAATGGTGTCTAATCTTCGCTTTTAGAGTTTAGTTTCATGTGACTCAAGTAGTTAGTGCAACTTGTGAAGGAAAGAGTTTAAAGTTACTCTAGAAATGTTTTTGTCCGTACTGGCAAGAAATAGTAAACAGATAGAAGTGTTGGTTGTTATGAAGAGAAATCTTTATCTCTCACTGAAAGGGGCGCTGAGCAAGTATATCACTATTTTGAAGGCTCAAACACTCGTGGTGATGTTAGGATCCATGTTAAAGTGTATGAGCCCGGTGGTGTCCATCAAGCATATACACTCTCTCCATTCTTATTCAACTTTAAGACAGCCATTCCTATTGATCTTATCGCTTCAGAGTTCTTAGTAGACAGGGAGTACGCAGATGTTATAGCCCTATTGGTATATCTCAGAATCTCTTTCCCTGTGACACAGATGCGACCATACATCTTCATCGTAGTGGTCATTCTGAATTTCAGTATTGTCTCATTCCTTCTTGCTCTCTTTCGATGACTTTCTACCACTTTTGACTGCTTTATTTATTTTTTTTTTCATCTTAGTGGATCCTGGATTGATATGCTGATATAAAGTGTGGAAAATTGAAATGCTATGCAGTAATTTCAGATCCTATATTAAAATTGTCTCTACGTGTTCCTGAAAGATTCGTAATTTCACTTTATCTACGGTTTCAAACTCGTTATGTTTTTAACGCATATAAGACGAAATGATAGAGAATACTTGCAGCGTAGGTCGATGATCTTGTTTGCGTTACGTTCTCTGAGGTTAGTGCTAATAATTTCGTTTCAAAAAACAATGAAAGCTGTACGGTCAAACCATTAAGCTCAGGAAGCCCCATATCAAGTAAAAATTTACGTCAACAGCCCCAAATAAATTTAGGCTGTGGGTGCAATCTGATGATGCTAACTGACTTTGGTAACCGACACAGGGATTAACCCCGTTAGTCAAGTCAGTGATCGAAAGTCGAGTATTTCATGAAGCTTGGATTGACTTTTCTGAAAGATTGGTAGTCGATTTGTATGAGAGAAGTGATGCGTTAAAATGTTATATAGGAAAGTAAAAAGAAGTGGTTCGGTCAAGAGACCGTTCGATAATTTCATTCATTGAACTCTATGATCACATTATATGCGTTTTTTTGGTGATAATTCGTCTTGTGTGACTCAATTTCCGTATCAAATAAGGTACTATATACGAATTTTGACTTAGAATGTGATCAAACTTAAGAGGAAATATCATGCTGTCTGAAGACCTCGTTCTTTACAGCAACTCTCAGAATAATATTCTCTAGTCGTCCTTTACTCTACAATATACTGCAAAGCAAGGTCTCGCATGTGGCGACATCCTATGTGTGTATATCAATTAACCTACTCCTGTGGAGCTGGTTATATCAGTTAGGCCGACAGACAATCCAGCGTGGAACCTCTCACACAAGTGCATTGGTTCAACTTGCCGCACTTTACAGTAGTATACAAACGCAAGTGAATGGATAAAACTGATATCAAAATAGAAAGCGTGTATGAGAGAAGAAGGGATTTAACAATAAAGGTTAGTCAAAAGATTTGAACTTTATAAGACATCAGAAAGTGAATACATCTGCTTCTTTGTGACCGATTTTCAACCATGTCACCAAGATTTCCTCAGCCAAGAAGTCCATACCTTCCTACATGCCTCAGAACAAGAGTCAGGGACTTCGTGCACTGGTGCCACATTCAGCTGTCGCTGCTTTCATGATCTTAGTCTTTTCCACTCTATTCATTTCATCCATATTATCACCGAAAGGTTTGTAAATGGATGCGACTATACAACTCAGTGAATGAGGTCGCTGAATGAGTATCTTTGCTAAATCACTTCCTTTCATTTTCTTATGTGTCTATGGAGATTTTTCGTGAATTGAAAATGTCATGTCACCGATAGTGGTCATCCATAACACCTAAGCAAGAACTCTTACCACTAACATTTTGATGTAGAAGAATGTAACTCAATCTGGTGTACGTAACAGATTATAAGCCATGCTGGCTGTGCAAGGGCTTATAATACAACGCGGTTGCCCATGTTGAAATAGACAGTGTGTGAGTTGAATCCGCAACTCATCACTTGAAAGTTGAATGTTTGAACCAATGAACCATATCGCCACAACATTTTTATGCAATATATTGAATGTATTACACATTGGGTGGTGTGATAATCATTGTATCCGTTATGTGAAAGTTATCTCTTGTTATTTTTCTCAATATGATCAACATAATGTGATGAAAAGTGAGAAATGTTTATAATTAGAGACGAAAAGAAGTTCAACAAGGGTATCTTTTCCGGTGATATCATTCTCTGCAGCTTTGCAGTCTTTATTATATAAGTTTCACTTTACTCTATTTGTAAATTGTTAACCATGCTAACTGGGATACAATTGGATGAAAGTTATAGCATACTTTGAAGAAATATTTTAATTAAGGTTATCTTCAAAGTTGATAGTGAGTCCACATTTCGTCAATGGATGTAGAGTTAACCAGAAGAAAAGACGGAATATTTAAAAGCTCAGTATACATGAATCTTCTACATACAAGTCATTACGTCTCATTTTAATCTGTTAGGATTGATTAGTCTAGAATTTCAACGCTTTCTAATAAGACATATCTATACTAAATACTTGTGTAATTCACATATTAGAGTATTTGTGAAGTCAACTATTGATTTAGTAGGATAGCGTGGTTTGTGTACTACGATAGTATGGTAAATTCTGCTACGATTATCAATTTTAGGCGCTAACTTAAACCATTTAGAGCAGACAAAATCAACATAGAACCTCTCACACAAGTGCTTTAGTTCAATTTGCCACACTTCACGGTAATATGCAATGAACAAGTGGGTAGAAAAAAACCGATCTCAAAGTAAACAAAGTTGTATGAGAGAATAAGCAATTTGAAGATGGTTAGTGCGAATATTCAAGCTTTGAAAGATGTCATAGAGTGAATACATCTGTGACATTGTGACCAATTTTCAGCCATGTCTTCAACTACTGATTCCTTTCGTCTCGGGGACCCCAGCCCTGTAGTCTAAATCCACACCAGATGACTCATACTCACTTCATAGATTGGTGTCACATTTGGTCTCTTCATCCTGAATTTTCTTCCAGTTTGATCCAACTTCCCTAATCATGGCACATCGAGGTTGTTGGTGACTCGACATGCACAGTACATGTCTTAGGCATTTCAGCCGATGAAGGTTCACTACCTCATCAATCGAATTGCTTGTCTTGCCTAGTACCCTTCATCTGACCTCAACATTGCTCACACCTAGGTATGGGTAGGAAGGTAGTATAATTATCTCTTACACAATAGGCGTGACTCATTGCCTACTGAAGGAACATGCATATGGTGACTGTGTGCATTTCGATCTTCACTACTTTCAGTAAGAAATAAATATTACCTCGTAGATGTAAACGCATATGGTTGTGTTTGTACAGCTATAGATAATGTTATCACTAAATGGTCACACTTTAGTATCACTTTTCTTTGTTTTCCTTGGAAGGGATGCTAATGTCAACCAAACAACAAAACGCCCTCGTCCTCCACCACCGCCTCCACCTCCTCGAAGTGGTAGTTGGATTGGTAAAACCACAGTTTCAACCCCGATAGATGATTCTACAAACCAGCACTGTATTAAATATAATCGTGAGTCATCGTGTTCGCAGATGAAAGTAGTCACATCCTCTACTGACCCTATTACTGTCGATTATTCAACTCAACAACAGCCACGTATTTATCAAATGCATAGTTCTATTGGTCATACCAATACGCATCCTCCATCTCCAAATGTGTTCACTATATCCAGTACACATCCCAATAACAATGTGCAAAGTAAGTCTCCTTTTATCAATTAGCTGTTTGTTTTGTTGTTGGCATTGTTATACTGGTTGACTGTTATTCATTTTATTTTTGTGAAAGATTATGTGCAACCTGGAGTAAAAACGCCATTGTGATGTTCAGCAATGGGTTTAGAAATGTTCAACAAAAGGCGCCTAAGAAACTGTTTTGATATTAATGGGTTAAATTGTTTGTTTTGATGATCACATAACTAGTGTGACATGTGATATCTGTCACTTCAGTTGTTGATTAATGATAAGAATCTAGGATCTATCCTGCAACTAGTTGAAGATACAGCATCACTTGAACAACCTTAAGTGTGCATCTGTATATGTGTGTGTGAGACTATCTATAGTGTCGATTTCAATGAAAACTAGTATGTGTACTGAATGACTGTCTCTAATCGATGCATATATTAGTAATTGTTTTATGAATAGTTTTTGAGCGTCATTGCCTTTTAAAATTTTATTCATTATTTGATTAACATAGTATCAACATTCCTGACTGTGTCGTTGGGCAGTCTCGAAAGGAAAGACTAAGGTCTTCCGGGGCTACAACCGCTCTCTATTGAGAAAGCTGTTAACATGCATGAAAGGCAAATGAAAAGTTTTCTGTCAACATAGGATTGCATGATGGCACAATTCACAGCAGTATACAAAAAGGAAATGGATAGCACAAGAGCAGTAATAAGTTAGACAAAAGTTTATATTATGGAAATGTTGAAACTCGTGAATATCAATGAGAGTACATTTGTGCCATTGTCACGAATTTTGAGCCATTACACCAATCGTTTTTAATCATTGTTTCACTATTATCTCGAGGAGCTGAGCCAGGCAGTCTATAACTTCGTACATAGCTCCTACCAAAAGTCAGAGACTTCATAAACTGTCGCCTTGGACATGCCTGGATCTGGTCATTCTTATCCTTCTTCCAATACACTCTTGCCTCAGCTAGCATTACATATTAAGGTAGGTGGTGGTACCGAAAACTTGATTAAGCAACATCAGTTGGTGAAGGTTAACAACCTCATGGATTGGTGTTCCTTCATTGCCCAATGTCCTCCGGCTAACCTTGACCTTGGTGACATGGTGATTCCACTTCAGGCGATGAATGCAAGGAAGAAACTTGTGGTCAAAGACCTTTAACTTAACTATATCTTCTACTTTTAACGGTCAAGTTTGACAGCTATTTATTAAGAAGGAGCACAGTGTACTCTTTTTTATTAGGTAGTTGAATATCTCGCTAGCTCCAGTGATGAAATAAGTTGCTTAGTGTTGCAAAAAGTCATTTAGCTTTGCCATTTTTTCCTTCAAAAAAATATTGCTGTTATCAGATGATTGTTTAATTGATGAATTCACATCAATTAACATACTACTGGAAATATGGAATTATTGAAGAGTTGTATTATTGTAGTTCAAGGTTGTTGAACAGTTGACACCCTTTCTGCTTGCTACTTTGTGTGTAGGGTCTGAAGTCATTGGACGTATCATGGTATTATCCAGTGGTTTGGTCGGAGTGTAGTATTACTGTATTTCGATTGAACCCGCACTCAGGAACTTTTTTCATGTTCTTGCAGTGGACAAGACCCACACCTGTTGTGTGAGGACAAATGATACACTCTGGCTTCCTGAACCATGATAAATTCAGTGGTATTCTTACCTATGATCCACTGGTTGAGAATCAACTGACTTAACCGGTGTGCCACAGCTCCATATTGCCATATTTAGTTGATGACGTGCGCTGATAAAAATTCTCACATAAAGTATGTGTCCTGATTTTCAGTGATTGGTTTGCGAATATCAATCTATCATCAAAACTGTTGTCAAGGCTCTTCATTAATTTTTCTATTTTTTCTTTTTTTAAGATCATACGTCCGGTCCCAGTTGCTTAAGTGATAGTTCTTATACGGGTATAGCGATTGCAAAGCATTCTATGCAGCACCATCAACAGGAACAGCAGAAAGGTCCGCAACAACAGTATCAGCGTCAAAATACCAGAATATCAGCATCTGGTCAACAGTTGTTGGCTATGAATTCTCCTACACAATATCAGCCTTCAGACTCTGTACCTTCTTGGTGTAGATCAAATCACGTAAGTGATAATGATAATTATGAACACCAGCTGCAGTATCCATCGAAACAACTTATCGTCAATAGTCGAAAAGAAGTTATTGAAGCACTACTTAGTCTGTTAATATGGCATCATCCAGAGACCAACTTTACAGAAAACATGAATCAGTCAGAAATTCATGCGTTTCACACCTTCTTATCAAACTGGTTAGCCAGCTCAGACTCTAACTGTTTATCCAATAATCAACTCCATTCACCTACTGCTACACCTTCACCTACTAGTATGTATGTGGCTCAGTGTACACGTAGGATTTTAACACATTTAATCAGAATACTGTACAGTGATACAGTGTATGATGAAGAAGTTTCAACAAATCAGTCAGGGAGAGAAATTGAAGAGGAAGACTACACCATGAATGCATTGATTGGTGAATCTGGTGAAAGTAACCATGGTGATAATCATTACCTATCATATTCTGCACCTTGTAATAGCAATGACGGTGGTGGCGTTATAAGCAACCAGTCTTCAGGTAAGTTAATTATTGGCGAATAACTTCTGTTCTCTTATCCTGTTCATACTGACAGTGATGTCAACCCAGTAGTTGGTGAAAACGGGTCATATTCTTCCCACTTTCTTTTCGACGTGTATGTGCTTTTGTGAAGTACATAAAGAAACAGCTGGATTTTTGTGCCTAGTTCTTCATTTCACATGCTTACGACTTAAGAATATCGGTAAATGAATGCTGGTCCCAAAAATGATTTACCTGTAGATTAACCATCCACTTATGCGCATGTAAATGAACGCGGAAAAATCATGGGTTGAAAACGTTTTTCAGCTAAGGGCCTTGGACATGCCTTGGTTCCGTCACTGTTGTCTTTCCTCCAACCCACTCTTGCTACATCTAACATTACATGCCGAGGTACGTGGTGCATCGGTGTGCTGAGAACTTGATTGGGCATTATCAGTCGGCGAAGGTTAATAATCTCATGGATTATTGTTCCTTCATTGCCTAATGTCCTCTGATATAGTGATTCCACTGCAGGCGATGAATGCAAGGTAAAAACCTGTAGCCTCTTCATATCTTCCGTTTTAATTAGTCAAATCTGATAACTATGTATAACGAAAGAGGAATCTTTAGCACTGTTTAGTTGTCTTTCAGTCTGTAGTCGGATATCTCTGTGGAGCCAAAACTAACGTGTTATCGAAAACACTAAACAGTCTTTTTGTATCCAATCTCGGATTTCGTCGTCAACTAACCACTAAATTAATGCATCATAAGTAAATTTGTAATAACAAGTTTGATAATATTTGAGCGGAACTACTGACGGTGATCACACCAACGGTTGGAATTTCTACCGATATATTCACCGATAGATATTGTGTATAATCATTCCATATTGTTAATTAATCTGCTTGTTCAATTATACACTTGTGTATGCTTGACAGTTATCTTGAGTCACCTCTATTGGGTGCTCTTAAACAGCAAATATTTCCAAAGTAGGAGCTTATCAGTGTGTGTAAACTTGTTGTGACAAATTTATAATGCATAATTTCATTCCACAATGTACGAACTTATTATTGATATATTTAACTCACTGAGGCTGATGCGACCGACTGTGTATGTGATTTAGTCAACGCGTTCAACTGCATCATTTTCTCTTTTGAAAATAGTCGGTGCTGACTGGAAGTCTATAAAACAAGAATTCATCCTCGTTAGTGTTAATATGTTTCATTATTTGAACACTATTATTGAGAATTCGGCAAAAATAATAGGATTTCAAGTTACTTCTTATCTGAACTAATTTTTATTGACTTTCAAAATAGCTTGGTAGTAGGGAAGTGAATGCTAACCCACGGATAGCTGCTATCTTGACTTGGAGGTCAGGCTTACATATCACTATGACAATGAAGTGTACTGGGAGGGTGCTTTTTACTTCAGGTCTTACCATGCCAGGAAGGTCAGTTGGATACTGATAAGAAAAGTAGTTACCGTTATAGTGTAAATTGCTACGCTGTAATGGGGGTCCGAAGGACGAAGCTGTACTGCCGGTTCGGTGGGGTGTGACCGCAGCAAGGTGTTCCCCGCAGATAACCGGCAGTGCCATGCTGATGCTGCCTTCCACATGCGAAGGTAGAGGAGAGTAGAAAAGGTTGGCCCTGAAAATAACACATTCTCCTCTGTTTTGTGACCTAGCGGTGCAGGCGAAATAGGTTTACAGTCGCATTCGTAAAAACAAACTCAAATCTCAAACTTCTAAAAAGACTGTATGACTGGCTAGAAGATGTTTCTTGGGCTTTTCAGTCACGCACCTTTTATCTCAAGGAGAACTAGTCTTCCGTGGTGTTGGCAGCAAAATGTGTCAGTCGCACTCACAGTTGTGTCTTCTCAGATGGAAGGTAAACAATTCTTAGTCAGATTAATCTGTGTGATTTAGCATACAGTGATATAGTATTACTTATTAGATGACGTTACAAGCAGAATTTATTTCTCATAATCATATCAACGTAATCACATAACTTTCTGGTCTGGTTTTCTATAGGTCTATTGTTTTTCATTCTTTCATTTAATTGGTAGTAAAAATTTCAACACATCGAGAATTGGTCTGCGTCATTTCGATTACACGTGCTATGCACTGAATTGATAAACAAAAGATTCAATGAATAACCTCTCTCTTCGCCTAACTATATTGGCCTTCACGACTGTAACTCTGTCTTATCCTATTATGTGGCTATGTTATCACATGGGTAGCTACGGTTAATTTCTCCTCTAGATTACTCATCTTATTAGGGTCTATAGGTCTGGACTTAGCTAGGTGCCTATGTTCTGTTTATCTGACTGACCACTTTCGTCTAGTTTGACCTATGTACCTGAACTCGTAGTCATTATACAGTACTTGGTAAAATTATTCTGTCTAATTGAATTCATGTAATCTTTAAACTGATATCGTTTGACTCTCAGTTAGTTTGTAGTTTTGAATGCCACCCTAATCCCAGCCTTTTTAGGGATTCTGCGCAGGGTCTCAGATGCCCCTTCTTTTACGGCAACACTACAAAGATATTAATTCCTTCGTATTTGTGCTGCAATTATTGTTCACATCACTACTTCTCCATTTTTTATGCATCCTTCTGAACAAATTTAAGGGGATAATTAATAAGATGTAAAGATTCTCTTGTGTATTTCATTTCGTTATTTAAATTTGTTGACTTACTAAAGAGATTTTTAGCTGGATTGCCTAAACATTTGATTAAGCTTATCTTTACTGATGTACGACAAGACGACCTAAAGTCTAGACATCTGTTGGGGTGCGATGGTTTTCGGTAGATGCTTGTAGCTAGACCACTATCTTCTCATCGTTTTATTTTACAATCTAACATATTTTATCCTATCTGCCACTGAGTTTAAATGTCTGAAGAAACTATGGATATGTTTGGATTTCAACACAGTAAGTGTGTCATCCATATATCTCCACCATAAGATGCCATAAGGATATTAGTGTTCCCATGGCTACTCCTTTCGTTTGCTTTCATATTTTATCTTGAAATTCGAAGACAGGCATAAGAAATAATAACAGTAATACGAAGACGAATAAAAGCAGCAACATGAGTAAAAAGGAGTTCAACGTTTTTATTGTGTCACTATATAAGGAAGGAACATTTGAAACTTTGCGTAGAATTCTCAACGAGGTTGGAATTGGGGTGGCGTTCAAGCCTACAAACTCACTCAGAGATAAGTCTTGTCGCCTTAAAAATCCGATAGACCGAATTAGACAAAATAGTCTGATCTCAATGTTGAAGTTAGTGTTGATGATCTTGTCTAGAAAGATGAAGGCTCCTCGACTAAACAACCCAGCTCAGAGAACACAATACAACCAAGATAATCTAACCTACTAAATCCCATGTAATATGAGGTAATATGAAGTCAATTATATAGGCTAAACTAGCCGATCAGAGTTAGTTAGGAATTTAGCTGAATTTAGCAGAATATAGAATGACAGACTCGAACAAGATCAATAATCTAGATGAAAACTTAGCTATTGCAAAGCATGCTTTAGCGCAATCACAAAATAGAGTGGGATAAGACCACCCTACTTAAGTCCAATATAATCAAGTGGAGAGAGAAAGATTGATTACTAAATGTTTGTTCATCGAATCAACATCCAACACGCAATGCCTATATGAGAGATACGGGAAATCTTAATACCACTAGAAACGTATAATAGTAGGTGAAAGTTGTGTGATTACATTGATATGATTATAAGCAAAAATTTATGCTTGAAATGTCAACAAGTAACTAATACTGTATAATCATTTAGTAATAATAATAATAATCGCTTTATGCCAAACAATATGTATGACAGTATGGAATTCTTAGCGTGTAATTTCCCAACAAATTCACTCCCAGAACAATACTTTCAGACGAAACGGTTATTACATCGAAATGATGTTAATAATAACAGTATTCAGGGCAATAATGTGAAGTAACCAGATGGGCGTCCGGTCCACAATGAAGAATCAACAAAAATGTAAGCGTGATTTTGGTGGTTGCGGTTCATTCAGACGGCACAAAAGTCTGAAACTCAAATTAATCATCTGACGGATAGAAATATGATGTACTTTTTTGTACCGAAACGTTCATTTTCATGTGACGTAGCATTTTTTTTCTCTGCTTTGTTATTGACTTGTAAATTCTCTTATCCTGTTGTTACAATGTAAGTGCTCAGAGCATTGAACTAAAGTATCACCTTTTGGATACTATGAGTCATTTTTTCTGTTAAAGGTCCATTCTAGATATTGAAACCTGTCAGTAAGATGGATATACTCTACTGATACATCTTAGTGACATTAAAACATATATATGGATCCCAACAGTTCATTCCGAACGACTATATTTTTTGCACCTTAAAGTTAGTAATAAGTGTATCCATTAGTTAAAATCTCATATATTAAATGGTTAGATGTTGTAAAGATTATTAATTGTGCATAGCATAAGAAGGTGTGATTTGTCTGAATTTGAGAAAATGTTACAAAGAAAGACAAATCACGTTTAATTGCTTTATTAAAATACATAAAGGCAACTGATTTCTCTAATCGATTACATAATAGAATACAATAGAATAAATGCGCTCTACTTGCAATAAATTCAAATTGATTATGAAAAATGTAATGTGACCTGTTCTAAACTGTAGATGATTACTACTTCATAACGCCACAAAAGTTCTGAAGTTAGTCAGATATGCATTTGAAAAATCTGGAAACGGGCAAAAATGCTGACCATCATACTGCATAATAGTACTGAGAAAAAAGTCAACGGAATCGGGAACAAGGAGGACATTAAATGATAGATATTAAAAATTTTAAAGATATTAACGAATAAATTCAAATGAGCCACTGTATTTGATTTTGACTCAATTGTTGATTTCTAACATTTAGTAGACCTCAACTAGGTAGCTCATACTTCGCTGCACCATTCAGATCATTAGTAAGTTCAGTGTGAAAGAAGGCTAGAGGCGACCAAACTGAAATATGGTATCAGTCTTTAACTGCTGATCTGAGCCATGTAGGAAATGTAAATCTCCAAGTTGGGGTCCGTGTGGTAAAGAAAGTAGTTATTTGGAAACTGTATGCTGTGGTTCATAATTGATGTCAGAAACGCAGATGCATCTGATCTATACCTTGATTTTATTTTACGGAATTTTATTATTGTTTTATCCCTTGTCCTCTCTCTTTTCACGACTTTCTACTAATTCTAACTACTTTCTTCCCCATTCCTCTATCTTTAATCTTGGATGTTAGTGCCGCGCTGTGTTGGCAGCTCAGAGCTTTACAGAGTAAGGACAGCCCCCATGTCGGTATTGACCGAGGACGTAATTGATTTTTTAATCATCGTCTGCATTAAAGTAATTGGCGTTGACGTAATTTGCAACATTTCATTGGTTTCAAGTTGTATATTCTCATCCCTGACATGTATTTCTTTGACCTGAAATATAAAAGAGATTTTTTCTGGCATATATGTATCACTGTTACATGCGATTTTTGAAAATTTGCATCGAGACATTGATGAGAAAATCACTCATGAAGACTAACAATGTAAAGCGACCTGGATAGGTTTAAGTCTTATTCGACGCATTGATAGAGTGAATGCTGATTAACTGAATAAGTGAATTGCATTTCTCCAACTGTGTAGTATGAAAACAACTTTACATTCCAGCTGCTTTCATTCAAATGTACATTATATGTGTGTTTTTAAAGTGCAAACATGTTTTTTATATACTCTTTTTCTGTTATCATGATTAAATTTTCAATTTATGCAGACGAAGACAATAATCACCTGATAACTGATAGTAGTACAGTGCAACAATCAAATTATGCAAATATGTCGATCAACAATTCTGACAATAACAAAACTACTGACAATAATTTTAGTAGACTAATGTTAACTAATTCAAAGATTCTTCCCCCGAATACTTCATTGATAGAATTGAAAGCTGCTGCTTTAGAGGTATGTTGATTAACTGTAGAACTATGTTTATATTATTTGTGAATTTGTATGAAATATGACAATTTACATTGCGACTATAGTTACATGTTATTGTTTAGAGATGTGGGTCTAGCCTGAGTACTTGACTTTGAACTGATGTGTTACAGGTTCTAAACTCACTCTACTTAATGACGTTTGAACAACTAAATAGTTTCATTAGTCTTCAAACGGTTTATGTAGCTCACTGCTTCTACACAAACGTGCATACAGTTTTTGAGTGTATTTCGTTTCATGTGTGCACTTTTTTTACATTTTGAAATTGCTTTTACTTCTATAGATTTTCTTTGGTTAGTTTAAAGACTGTACCATGTCCAGTTCCTTTGTTTGTTAATGGTCTAGTTCATAGGTTAACATTTTCTGAAAAGTAAGGTCATTCAAGCATAATGAAATAATAAATAGATAGTTTGTAGTTTGTTGATTAAGTGCTACATTAAACCACTAAAGATTGTTGACCGAAGAAAATTATAATTTTAGGTCAAGAATTTGCTGCTTGTACAACATTATATTATATGCGTACCTAGAACTTGTGTATTCTTCAATGGTAAATTAAAACCTTCAATCATCACTCAGTATCGAAATAAGTTTGCCAAACCACAGCTATCTAAGTTAGGTAACCTGTTGAATTATAATCTGACAATCAATTGTTTGATAAATTTAGAGGAAAACTTAAATGTCTTGTAACCAACTTGTCTACGCTTTGTTTGTGACTCATATTGATCAAAATCTTATCATATATTATATATATGATACGGGGAAATAGCATTTCTGCTTTGATTATACGACTCGAAAAATATTTCTTTGGTAACGGAAGTAGCAGGTTTGTATATAATATTTCTGTTAGGTTTATACTTTAACAATTATCAACATTTTTACGTGTAGGGTATCTGTTCCAAAAGGATTCATATTAAATTTGTACTAAATGGATTAATTTTTAGCTTTGCTTGATTGCAACAGGATCGATATTGTTTTTAGTTTTCCGGATATCGAAAAATTGTACAAAATAATTCCATAAATTAACACTGCATTCACTGTGTCTTGCAGTTTCAAGAATTTTTTTTCTAGCTGTACAGCAACCATTGTCAGAGACTGTCAAACAGTTTTTCAGTGTAGCCACTGCATTGTATCACAACATCATCATCATTATCAACATAGGACCAGGCATTACTGCGTAACGGTCCGAGTTGCCACACCTCATGTCAGTTCATCAAGTAAAAAGGTAGTGAGGTGAAGGATGAAGATAAGTGAATGCAGTCAAAAGAAATATAAAGTACGAGAAGAAAGGAAAGAGGAGTGACAAAATGGTGAGATTCGGTGTAGCGTTGTTAAGATGAGGATAATGTGTGTATACATCTGCGCCACTGACATCGGTTCTGAGCCATATCACATAGGGTCTCCAACCATTGGTTTCTCTTGTCCCGTGGACCCCAATCACCTAGTCTGCATCGTCCTACATGGCTCAAACCAACAGTCAGAGACTTCATACATTGGTGCCATGTTTTAGTCTGGCCACCTCGGGCCTTTTCCAAGCCTGGACCCACCTCAGCCAAGATTGTGTGACGAGGCAATCGGTGACTAGGCATACGTAGTACGTGTCCCAACCATCTCAGTCGATGAAGGTTCACAACCTCGTCACAACACTGTAATTCATTCAGTTTTGCATGCATAAGGGGGAACAAAAAGATTCATACGGTTAAATCTTTGGCAAGTAAAAGTAAACTTTTCATATATATATATATATATATATATATATATATATATATATATATATATATATATATATATATATATATATATTCATTTTTGTGCTGCACAAATTCTCAATTTTGAACAAATTCATTATATTTTCAACATGAACTTAATTTGAAGTAATTGGTTAACACCTGCTTGCTCTTATCGAGATGTCAGTCAATTGATGTTCACCAATATAGATAGAATAAATAAAGTTTTCACGTTCAAGCATATATGTTAGCACTAGGATGACCTGTGTATGCGTATAGATAATTCAGGTGATTTTCATTAACATGTGTTTGCGTTAATGCTAGGTAACTGAACTGATCTTGATATAGAGGAAATATAATTTAACGGTGTTTTGGAATATAAGAACCTTGGATAATATTGCAGTTAACTGCCACTATATAACAGTAAATGATGAACGCTTGCCTAGTTATTATAATAATCATAAAACGCATATGGTGTGAATCTAATTTAAGAATACGAAAGGTCAGCTCAAATGATTTAAAAAGAAAAACTGGGATAATAGTAGCTGTTAAATGATTTCGTCCTGGGAGCACTGGACAGCTATCTCGTCCCAGTGTGGAACTCCTCAGCAGTACTCACTTATGACATCGCCAGGAGTCGAACCCAAGACCTTCAGGTTCCACTGCTAGCACGTTACAATTGAATCACTGGGTCAGAATCCAGTGTTCCATATTTTTTACTTCTGTCAGTTCACGATATAGCGTGACTTCTATCCAATACTATCGTTGAATAACTGTCCTCATATTCGACTAACTTGACTCCATTGGTCACGACTTCTCGTTAGAATATACAGAATCACCTCTCGAAGTCTATCACCAATGAGCACTTGAAGTATTCAGTTTGGAGGTTTGTGGGGAACTGTTTATTAGTCTTGGATTGGTATTCATCATGAACTGACATCATTCGGAGAGACATTGTCAACCTGTTTCGTCCTAGTATGGGACTCCTTAGCGGTACTCACCAATGACCCCACCAGGGATCGAACCCGTAACTTTCAAGTCTCGGGGAGAGCACGTGTTCACTGAGTCAGTGGGTTGTAATACAGTGGTCTATATTTCCTATTTTTGTCAGTCTGTGTTCGATCATATTTTTTAGTTGGTTGTCTCCAGTTGCCATCGCTGTTATTTCCTTTACCAAAAGTTGTGTACGGTGAGTTGATTGACCCAGTTTTCTTTATATTCATTAGACTCTCTGTTTTCTTTGGGCATTCATCGCGTATTCATAGTAGTGCAGGTATTTGACTATCAACTGTTGAGTCAGCAGTTAAGGCTCAGTTCATCTACTCTGGAACTGAACAGTCAGCTTCCGGGATCCAAACATGTTGTGTGTGTGTGTGTGTGTGTGTGTGTGTGTGTGTGTGTCAAAGCTAAGTACACAATTTCGTTCAGGGTTATTGAGTTAAATTAGTTCGTTAGTAAAACTTTCTTTTCTGAGAACACTTATAATTAAGAGTTCGAGTGATAAACGGAAGTACTAAAATGTCATACTTCACAAAATATAAGGCTAGGTCCCAAAATTTATGTGGCCATGAGCTACTTATGATATAGTTTGATTGACGGTGGTTAGCAGTGTAGTCCGGGGTGCGCATCTAATCCTACTCCTAACTCGTCAGCTAAATATATCTTCATCCGAGAGAATGATTGGGTTAACATTGAAAGTCATACAGAGTACTCATCACTTCACATACCGAAGCGTTATTTACTAGGCTACTAAGTCACAGTGACCACCTGTTATGCAGTGGATGTTAACTGTTATGTATTAGTACTTTTAATCTCCTGTTGTCTTTTTTACTGAACCTAGTCGATTGATCTCTGCTTTTATATCAGCTCTTATGCGAAAATGCCTTGATATAACCTGTAGATTATTAATGATGTATCCCGACTGAGGCAGCTGTGTAGTAGGTCATATTGTAACAAAGACTAATCAACTTGGTTCAATATAGTAATCAATGGGAAGTTGTAAGGTGTCAACGAATAGCAACCAGAAAAAATCTTTGTTGTTAAGGTTGATAGAAGATAACAGGAAAGTTGACGTGAAAAATGTGTCTACAATTGACAAGTCATTGTCATACATTTTGTTTACACACATGAGTTATTATTTCCTCTTGTTTCTCTAAAGTGTTAAACTCCTGTGTCTTTTCACTATTTTCATTGTATCTTTTCAGGCCATTCATAAACTGGCTCCATTATGTCAGCCGGAACCAAAGTTATACGGAAGGGATATGGGGATTATTCAATTACTCACTGCAATTCATAGTTATAGCTTAAGCTTAAATGAACGAATCACACAGGTGAATATGAGCAATAATAATAACAACAGTAATACCAATGAAAATGTTGAGAAGACAGTGATGAATAGCTTGGATAGAAGAACGAATAATATCATGTCTGTTGCAGAATCATGTATATCATGTCCAGTAGCTGAAGTTGCTGCTCTCGTCCGCTTATCATTTGATTCAATGCATAGAAATGCTATTTGTGAATTAGGTAAGTTATATACCCTTTTTTCATAGAATTGCAAATCAATTCGAGAGTATTTGACATTGTTCAAATGATATGCATTATTACTGCACATCACAGCATGATTGTTTTCAGGAAAGCAATGCACTGAAACGACTACTTAGGGTTTTAATTCGTCACACCGTATCCTATCAAAGGTTTCTGCTGTCTTCAATTTTTTTGAGGAGAATATACATTGTAGTAAAACAATGAGTATGAAAAGTCAAAGGAATTAAAGATTGTAGCCGAAATCTGTAAACTGAATGACTATTATCCGATTAACTTCGTCAGAAAAACCGAAAATACCAAAAACAGACGGGAAATATATTCCAGAATTTTGTGCTCAATCAGTAGTCATAAACTATGAATTAGATTAGGAGTGTGCTCAATAAATACAATATCAGAGTGTTCTACAGGACATTGGATCCACGTAAAACCTGATCAGTCCATAGGAAAGACAAAATTCCCCAAAGTTTGTTTAATAATTGTGCTTATAAAGTATAGGGTTCATACCATCACGTAGTAAAGATAGGACAAAGTTCATACGAAATCACATTTGGAAGAAAAAAGAGGTACTGTAAGAATTCCTGTTCACTCTCTTAGAAGTCTAATAAAGATTAGTTCTACACGCTATAATATTAAGTCTCAAGGTTGAATTCCATCTCAAAGCAGAGCCTCTTTACATAAAATAGAGTTGAAGTCATCTTAATTGCAATATGAGCATGAAATTTAGCTTGATTCGATTTCAACACATCCTCATAAACTGACATACTCAAAACACTTTTGTTAAAAACTATGAATGAAGTGTGAACAATACAAACTTAACTTTTTTAATTCACACACTTATCATAACACGTAAACGCGGTACTAATACCTTATATATTTTTCAACTGCTTAACAATACAGTATCATTCATACGGTAGAACTTGGATTATGTTGTCATATTGTACTCTTTGATACTCAATATTTATGTTTATCATCCTTTTGATGAAGTTATTAGTATTAACTACTGAAACATTATCTAAAACAGTCTAGTTTTGTTGTTGTTTCATTTTGAAATAAATGCATATGTCAAAATTTATGTATGTCAACCTTTATTGTTGGTCAGTGAACTAACAACTTTCGGGTAAAGTTCACAGCAATTTTTTAAAATCACAATTCCATAACATTTGGTTTTTAGCAATACGGCGTACTTATAATCACTTTTGTTATTCAAAACAATATAACAAATACAGTACCTTCATCATTCCGACTATCTGAGCCGTGGTTTGGCAGACTAGTATTGATACTGGGTGAAGATTGAAGGTGAAGTAAAAATTTGCACTGCGGCGGTGAAATATGATGCTATCTCTCTCTCTCTGTCTCTCATTCAGTTAGATTTGGCTTTGGATGAAAAGTCCTAACTGGGCAGCCAGTATAAGTGGGGTTAGGCTCTAGTAACGTGTCACGAATTCACATGGTAATCGGGCAAAGCCCTTGGTGATTGAAGTAAAATGAAAATCTAGTCAGTAGACGGACCTTGTAGCTCAGTTGGTAGAGCACTGAATCGGAAACTCAATGGTCGCTGCGGTCCAAATTTTCATTTCAGTTCCAATCATCACTCAATATCAACAGTAGCTTTAACCGAACTACAATATGTCAACCATTAAAGGTGGAACAGACGGTTTACAAAGTTTTAACTTGTATCATGTAGATAGTCAAAAATGTTTCTCCGTTTGAAAATACAGTTGTCTACTGTGTTCAATGTGTTCAACTCACTGTCATCAATTTGTGAGGAAAATCACCTTGAAATTCGATTTTATTTTCCTTAAATTCGCTTTTTTTCCTACTGAAATATTAAACAAGAAATTTGTGTTATTATGCTGGTCTCTTTTCAGACCAATTTTATTTCTGGACAAAGGAAACTGTAGTATAAGGTATGAAGAAGAAAGAGTGTAGTATAATTATAATATATCGAAACATTTTTAGGAAAAATACCTCCAGCTTTAGAAATATGCAACAATTCGGTCATAATAATCACTACCTTTCTCAGGTGAAGCTGAACAATGTTCACTTTTCTTTCACCTTGGTATTTCTCTTATCTTCTGCTTTCTTGCAGCTTCTGTCTGTTTTCTGTCAAACTAGTCAAGCAGATAAATGACAAATCACAGTTGAAACCAATAGATTTTTATTTATTTATTCCAAAGTTCTTAAAATAGGTTACAAATGTTTGAAATCTTGTAAATTTTATAGTGACAGTTGTCAGGAAGTTGTGACTAGTCTTACTACAGTGCTTGTTAAACCTCATCAGAATTGAATGTGATTGTAGAATACATCTTCTCTCTGTCCTACTACAAGGTTACAAGTGAATGACATGGAAGTGCCTCCAGAATTTGACCACCATTTGCTGCGTAGCCTGAGTTGTGTGTTGTGGTGCCACCATATCAACAACGCAGAAGTTAGGCCTAGCGTTTGAGACATGTGAAAGTCGGTTGATAATATTGTAAGTCTTCATTCGTTCATATAGATAGTTGGAAAATGTATTGCGCAACCAAGTCGTTGTCTACCCAATTGTGCAGTGTTAACTGAAGTAAGTTTCGCCTAGAACAACTTCAAAGGCCACCAGACTTATATGCGGTATCAGTTCATGACATCTCTGACTGTTAGTTCGAACTGTACAAGTAATTACAGACATGTAGGTTATTGTCCGCGTGTAAATCATTATTAACTTTTGGAGAGTGATGGCGATTTAGTTTAGAATCGGTGTTAGTGATGTAGATGCGTCTTGAAATTATCTTTCTCCCGATGATTGCCCCGAGTTTTTTAATCGTTTCATGCCCTCTTTTCATAGCTTTCTACTGCTTTTGATTACTTTCTTTTATATTTCGCTATGTTTCGTGTTGTTGCCTGCTACCTTAATGTGATGATGTTAGGTGTGGCAAGTTGAACCGTTACACAGTCATTTTTCGACGTATGTTAATATTGACCAACGGTAAAATACTTAGTGACACTGAACGACTCGAACTTACATCTTTTAACGCATCATTTATGTGTGCTTGAAATAAAAGCTCTAGGAGATCTATACAATCGTAACTGATATTGAATATCAGTCTTCCACTAAATGCTTATTATTTCAAAATTATTTTAATTAGATCTCAACTTACAGTAATATAATAATCATGGTACTTTTGACCACTGGTCTCTTCCAAAGCGTTTAGAATAGTTGATTGCCTTATCACATCTCGTACGTGATATAATATCAGATTAAGTAAAGTTAGAGCGAAAGCCATAATTCTTGGCAAGAAAAAAAGTATTAATTAAGTTGTGAGCGTGCACAAGCTCAGATAGTTGTGTTTGCGTATTCTATTTTCACCTAAAAAAATGCTACCTTCAGTAGAACTAAACTGAAGAAGTGTTGTGTGCGCGCAGAAAAAAATGGGACAAAAATGTATAAAGTTCATGTTGGAAGTTTAGACTCTTTTACCGAGGTAATTACGATGTTAAGAATTAGTAATTAGCAATACTTGACGACGTAATTACCAGCTGATCGAAGTGACATGAGTATTTACATGTTTTACCTAGGATTTACATGCTGAGTAGCAGCAGTTAGAGACATTTTTTGATATACTACAAAATAGATAACAATCTTGCAGATAAACTAGCTGTTTTTCTCATCTCTCTTAATTTTCTCCCGATTTTGTTGGTAAGTCTAGCAACTTGAATCACTGTTCTTTTGTGGGTGATTCTACGGTGCTGTGTTACTCTGTTTGGTGCATTTTATTCAAGCAATGGCGAAATTCTTTCATATACGATGGTAATAACATAAGAACCTATGCGTTTTTATTGTTGAAAAGTGTTTATGGTGTATAACTTGCATTGCTGAGCTGTCAGTGCCATATATATATTACTTCCTCTTGTTTAGGTGGTGTACACGCTCTTATTTCCTTATTACGCATTGAACAAACAATTTGGTCAAAACAGAGTAATCCATACAGTAATAACAATCCCAATGCTAACAATGATGGTAATCATTCTACCTCACTAATCATGGGAAATCAAAACTTTACTACATTATTAGAAAACAGTTTAGCACTAAGACGATATATATGTATGGCCTTGACAAATCTAACTTATGCAGCTGCTGAAAACAAAGCATTTATATGCAGACGTTTAGCGAACTTGGAGGCATTGTTGGCTCAGTTGGAGACTGGAAATGAAGAACTGAAACAGGTAATTTGATGTGTTTTCTTTTTCTTTTTGAAAACTTGATAAGTCTAATGTTGTCTATCAATATTACCATGATAAACTTTTACTTTAAATTTTTAGTGCAGTAGCTTAAATCTTAAGTGTGCAGGAGTCACCAAGCTGTAGTTGAAGAACACTTGGGTCACTGTATTGGCATTCGTTAGCTTTTAATTGCTGTGTTATTAGCTGCATAAGCTTAATTCTGAAGCCCAAGAGGATCGATCTGGTGAAATCGGCTTGTAAAAAAGAAAGAGGTATTTGCATTTTATTTGCATCTCTGGGGACTGTATAGTGTTATGGTTTGACAGAAATGCAACCAGTCGATGTACTATTTCCTACCAGTAATCAAGAAATGATTGCGCAGCATAAAGTTATCTGCTTTACTTTTATTCAGTGTTGATCACCGTTGGTACCTTGAAGTAGCGCAAGCATATGAATAGGTTTCCTCGAAGTTACAGGTACACCCCGTTGATGAGAACCAATAACAATTTCGGTTAACGATTACTTACGGGTTCCCTAAACTGGTCGAGCAACTAATAAAATGCATTGCAATATTTGTTATAATGATAAATAAACTGATATAACTTCCTGCTACAGGTTTGAACTGATAACCTGGAGAAGAATGAACATCTAGTTAGTCGATACTTCGACTACTAGGTCAGAAATCTGCCTGATTTCCACGGAATTGTAGTTCTTAGGTTTCCCTGAGATGTCTGTTTATTAGAGAAATTAGACTCTTAGACCCTATGTCAATCAGGTTGATTTCCATCTGATCATCACAAGAAGATTTCTTATCCTTCTTGAAGGCTGAGACAGTTAGTGATTGAGATCAATCAGAGTGTATCATATGTCACTCCTATACACTGGCTAACACTTCAGTAAGCTTCACTGAAAATCCTCGACCACTAGACTTAATTACCTCCGGTACTAGTCCGTTTGGCTCTGCCTGCCTCCCTCGTATCAACTTACTTATAGCTTTCTCGACTTTGCAGATGTCAGGGGTCCTATTTTGATGTTCCATTTAGCCTGCAACTTGATAGCGGGAAACGGAACGGTAACAGGAAGCTAGTTGGACTGTTCCTCGAGGTGTTCCATCCAACATCCTAGTCGTTTCTACTGTGAATGAATCACTGACCCCTCCTTCTCCTCTATAGTCTCACTAATCACTGACATTTGTGCCGCAGTTTTCTAATAAGTCTAAATAACTATCTGCTGTTACTTATCTCCACTGCCTTTCCCTTCTATTTAGCCTTCTCTTCCCACCACTGATCACGGTCATTGCGTAGACTTTATCAGTCTACGTTTAAGTTGCATTTGTTTCCCATTGTACTTGGAGCTTTCAGGGATACGTTCGAGTGCATCCATTAATTCAGAAAAAAACTGCTGCTATCTCCTGGCTCTTTGTAACCACTCTCTGAGAGTCGACTACGATCTTCAACGCTGTTTTAACAGTAGAATGAAGATGGCACCATTCTTCATCTGGATGAGTTATATTGTTCATCTTCGGTAGCTGTCGAGCTAGCTTCTAACCGAAAGCGCCCCTAGTGCTCTCATTGTCGAGAGGCACTCTCAATGATCTTGTTGCTACACGCGCTCAAACCAATCCTTGTTCAGTGTCCAAACACGTGCTCCATAAAGCGCTGCAGTCGTCCACAAACCCTCTCCAGCGATGACCAATATGGTTTATCTGTGTTCACCACTTAGTTGAGTTCACTGGAAGCCACGTCATACAATGTCTATATATATATATATATATATATATATATATATATATATATATATATATATATATATATATATATATAGCCAACCTCACTAACTCAGAGCGAAACTGTTTGGTCTAAGTAAACCTCATAGATATTGGGAAAATTCTAGTGAAACTAAAAGTAAAAAAATGAGGCACTGTTGGACTAGACACTACTACAGCAATCAAGGTTTACTCCGATACTATCTTGATGAATATTTTGAGGATCAATGCACTAAGGCTTCCAACTATCGAGTTTAAAGTACTACTGAACATACTTTCTTGATTCTGCCTCTATTTCCTTCTTTGGTTGAGGGAATTCTCTAACATTGATTAAACTCATATTGTCTTGTTAAGATTGAATAATTTAAACATAGAATTTTGTATTCATGACTGTAATCAGTCTTTAGATAAAAATTTCACAAAATCCTCGTCCCTTATATAAAAGTATCATTCCACTGTGCATGAATGAGACTATCATATTCGGTTTATTTAATTTGTGGTTTTGTTACTAGTTATCAATGAATAGATGATAAGTATTTTCAGTTTCATATTTATTTGTATTTTATGGATGGTATTAACCATCTACTTTTATGTAGTGAGTAGTAGTTAGCTTCATGTATACTACAAATAAGAAGTCAGTAATTAGTTACTGTTTGTTCTTTTTATTCGAAATAAGTTATTCTGTCGATCTATTGTTAATACTCTCGTAAAATAGACTATTATTGTAATGGTAATAGCATGGACAGTGGCTAAGTGTTTCAAGGCAATAAAATATAGAATACTTTTAATTGTTCACGTTAATAATCATATTAGTATTGTTATTATTATTCTGAATGTAAAGATCCAGAATTAATGGTTATTTTTAATTGAATCCATTTTCTGGAACATTCTATTCGTCGTCACAATAATGATATAATCTATTTCAATAGTTCAAAATTGCATTTTATCATACATTTTAATTAATGCATTGTACATATCAATTTTTAATTGGTTTTAGATCATTTATAGAGGGAATAAAATTACTTCTCCTGTAAAATTAGATCTGTATATTTCAGTAGTCTTCAATATTTATCCAGTCTTGGTTATTATTAGAAGAATGGCTAAAACGTTTAAGCCTAACGCTTAGTACACGTGTCTCGCAACGTAAAAGTGATCATCTAATGCCTAACACTAATTATATCGAGGTTAGGAGGTGTTGTAAATAAATGGTTACTTTTCACAATGGTTAGATGGGGTCTGCTGTATGTCTAATGCTGAAAGTGTATCTCTTTTTCGGTCTTGGATATTAAGAATCATTCGGTATGAATCTAGTAGGTCTCCTGCTCATCATCTATTGAGGAAGGCGTATCTCCAACTATGGGGAAACTTATATTGTCTCAGTGACTCGATGCTTCATCACCTTAAATCTGAACCTGTAAGCTATTAAGACCGCAACCGGTCTTTCGATTTCACTGTCTAGTAAATTTTATTTCTTTAGCGTTATACAAGGTTTTCCTTATTCTGCTATTTGTACTACTGGTAGTCATCGTGTGCCATTTATCAAGAAATTAAAGTTGTAGGTGTTATGATATGTCACATTTACCAAACCCTTTGTTGTGACCGACAAAATCAAAGTAGAACGCTGCATCCCGGTCTATTGGCTCAAGTTGCCACACTTCACAGTAGTACACTAGGAATATATATGGATAGAAAAAGTGATATCGAAGTAGAAAACGTCGTGTGACAGAATAAACAATTTGAAGATAACGGTCAGTACAAATATTCAAACCCTAGAAGATGTCAAGAACTGACTGCATCTGCACCATTGTGACCGATTTCCCGCTATGTCATCGAGTGTCCTCAGCCACTGATTCCTTTCGTCTCGGGGACCCCAGCCAGGCGGTCCGCATCTCACACGACTCAAACGAACACTTCGAGATTTCGTCAACTGGTGTCAGGTTTTGGTTTGAATACCCTGAACTCTCTTCCAACGTAACTCAACTTCCCCTTGCTAGCGTGATACGTCGAGGTAGGGGGTGACTCGGCGTACACAGTACATATCTTAGCCATTTCAATCGATGAAGGTTCACAACTTCATCAATCGACTTATCTGTCTTGTCTAACACCATTCGTCTGACCTCAACATTGCTTACACGGTGATTCTACGAAATGCGAACAATTCTACGAAGATATTTGTGATGAGAACCCTGTAATCTCGTTATGTCGTCTACATTAAACGGCTATGTCTGGCAGCTGTACAGCAGGACAGAAGAGACAGCAACGCAGTATACTCGTCGTTTGATAGGTCGTCGGTTATCTGGCCAGTCGACAACAGAGAAGTCGCAAGTAGGCGAATGCCAAACAGACCTTCTGTATCAGAGCTGCGATTTCTTCGGCAACCATTTTGCTCGTGCTTATGCAACTCCTAAAGTAAGTGAAGTGGTCGACACATTCAACCATTTCACTCCTTACCATTAAACGGTGACTGGTTGGAGTGGAGACAAGTCGTGAGCATCATCTTACATCTGACAGTTGCCAGTGGAAGGCATGTCAAACATATACAGATTTCTGTCTAACGCGTTAACCAGACCCAACATTTTGTCAGGGCTTTCACTCAGCACGACAGTGTCGTCTGCATACTCCAAGTCAACCAGGTGACCTCCTGGGAGTAGATCAGATGTTCCTTAGTATTCATTTTGGCGACTCGCAGTGGGATCTAGGATGCGCGTTTCATTCTATTTGAGACTCCTCAGCTGAATTTACCTGCACCTCAGTAAGTGATTTTATCTCCACTGAAACTCGAACCCAATACCCATCCCTCCAAACGCCAAAGCGCTGTCCACATGGTCACCGGAGCATGAGAACCACCACGTGTGCAATAGGAATCATTTGTTGTTATTTGGTACTTGTTATTTACCATAGTTGTACTGGATTGAATTGTTGAACCTTTCTTTTACAGATGGGCTCGTATGCGTATTTCTCGATACTGCCGGATATTCATCGTATTGTACTCATTTTGGTGACTTGCAGTGGAATCTAGGACGCCCATTTCGTCCTATTTGGGATTCAGATCCATTCAGTCAAACAGCACGCAGATGGTTGTTGACTTATATCCAGTCGAATAGCGCACTTTCCGACCTACAGCTCAATGTTATGACTACGCCAGCGACTCCACCAGTTAGCCATTGAATCTCTACATACTCTTTGAGTGAATTTTGAATATTCACTGTCACAGTCACTCGGGTCCTGTATACGTGTCTCAGACACAGCATACATCCATGTCTTGAGATCCTAGAGTTTTGGCGAGAGATGCTTACTGTCCAATTTGGTATAGAGTTGGTAAGGTTTAAGAGGCCTATTATTAGTATGTGTAGGTGAATGCAAAGACAGAGACAGAGTTGAGGAGAATAAATTATTTTCCATTGGATCTGGATTACTTTTTAAAGTTTGCGGGCGTTAGACGTTTCCTGTGTGCCCACACTATTAATTGATGTTTCTTCTTAAGGTACCTGAAAGAGAAAAAGATTTGTGTGGCCACAGAGCTCATGGGATGTTTGCTTAAGGGCTGTCACAAACATGGACGCTTGCAGGCTGTTGCTTTGAGGCTTAGTGGGTCGAACGCTGGGTAGAGACAGCCCATATCGCCGGCACCGGAAGACCTTGGGAGAAGGAGTAGTGTGCTATTTATGGGACCGACCTTTTCTAGCCAACTACTTTCCATGGGAAGGCAGCATAAGCGTAGCACTGCTGGTCATCCAAAGGGAAACACAACACTGCTGTCACGCCTTATCCAGCCAGCAGTATGACTTCGCCCTAAGGCCCCCATCATAGTGTTGTAATTTACGTCACAGTGGTAATTGCTTTCCGTCCCACCACTATCCAACTGACCTTTCTGGCATGGTAGGACCTCGAGGGAACAAGCATCCAACTAGCGTAGCTCGTAGGGTCATCGTGATATGCAAACCCGACCACTACGTCAACGTAGCTAACTATCGTCCGGGATGCTTTGGCAAAGCTATGATTTGATCATCAATGGTTCTTCTTTTTTTATACCAATAAGCATTTGCTGTTGATAACTATTGAAACCAATCGTATGGTAAAAATCTTTCTGTCTTACTGCACTTAAAATGATTTCATTTATTTTACCTTTTCAATATTTTTCATGACATTTCTCCGCGTATTTTTATCACGTTTATTTGTGAGATCCCTTTGTTTTAAGTTAGCCACTTATCACCTGTATAGATATGTAACCCAAGGACACTTAGACGTCGTTTTCTTGCACTTCTTCAAGTTGATATGAGAGAGTTTGAGCATAGGGCATAATTTATGTTCATCATTCTATCGTTTATATCTCCTTGTTGGAAAATGCGATAGCATGTTTCTTAACCAGAAACCATGAGTTATACCCAATGTATGGTTAGCTTGTGATAAATGTACAATCGGTTACATGGAATAGGCTCCAAATATGTCACTCAGTGTCCACAGCAAAGGGGATATCTATTTAAGTGAGTAATACCTTCATCGAAAAAAACGTGACTTTCCTCACCACTACTTGTAACTTTATATTTCCAAGTACCTTTCCTTTCTTACAATTTTTGAGGCTAAGGACAACTATTATTCATCTTCCTTTAGCAAACTTTTAGCCAGTCGCCACATATCAACATATGCTTGTGAATTGGTATGTTTGTGTGCATGCAATACTTCATCAGTTATTGATTATCGATGCTATTTTTTGTACTAGGTATTATCGCATAAAATTCATTCTTATACTGCGTTAGAACAGAATATAGAAACAAACAAAAGGAAATGTATTATGCTAACAAGTTTTGTTTTACACATCTTGTGGAATGAGGTTGATTTATATGATATGAAAGAATCGCCTTTGTTTGTTATGAAATTCAATGTCTGTCTAATTTTTCCCCTAGTTACGAGGAAGCGAGAAAGCGCAAAAAGGAAGCAAAAAAAATTACTGAAAGATTGGTAATAATAGGAAAACACAAGAGAAATATTTTTTTTCCGCAGTGTTCTTCCTTTTTCATTCCTCCTTACAGTTATTTGTGTATCGGCATATCGCCTAGTTATTAATCATTTGGGAGATTGTTATTAGGAGATATAGTGAAATGTAAATATGTGCACAGAACATGAATGCTCATGTGCATACACATACACGCACACGGGAACAAACATTATTCTCTTGTTTCTGCGTCGTAAGTCTGAATATGTACGTTATTGCCCATTGTATAGTACAACTGGCTGGTTTTAACTACGGTAGATGTTAAAGAAAGAAAGAAAGGAGAGAGAAAAAGCAGACGTGTATCAGTTACAGTTGTCACACTTCACAACCGCATATTCAAACAAAGTTAGTGATATCGGAGCAGGCAGTGTATGACAGGAGAGAATACAAATGGTAAAATTGTCGAGGTTCACAGCATAATGAACAAAATATGCATCTATGAATCTGTTGTCACTTTTAACCATATCATCAAAGCCTTTCATCATTGATTCTAACCAAATAGTCTGTACATCATCACACGGTCCAAGTCATCAGTCAGATGATTATACCGTCTCTTGATCTTCCGCCTGTCGCTTTCTTCAAAATTACTCTTACATCAATTGACATCGAACATACGGCCTAGTGGCACCCTGGGATGTGCGACACATATCCGAACTGAAGGTGCACAACCTCATCCTTGCCTAGTACTCTCCTCCTAATTTCCATATTGCGAACACGGTGATTCCAGCATCCATAAGAAATGCTGCAAATATATCTGTGATCCAAAACCTTCAATTCCTTCATATCTATTTTCAGAAACCCTGTCTGAGCCATTTAATAGGACAGCGAACCACAGCGCAGTATACTCTTTCTTTAACAGGTATTCGGATATTCCACCGGCTTCAGAGTTGATGCATGTTGAAAAACGCCAAACAAGTTTTTTGTATGCGAATTTAATTTTTGTCAGCTACTAAGTTGTACAGGCTAATGCAATTATTCAAGTAGTGGAAATAGCCAACGGATTCTGCCACTCCACTCCTTTTTTATAAAACTGGGAGTAGGTATAGACCATTCCTGAAGCATTATTTTACGTTGAATAGGTGCAAACAGCATGCGAAGATTTTTACTTCGGGGTTTCATAAAAGTTTGAGTTTTGTCAGCATCTTAACCTGACAGGAAAGTATCGTCTACGTGTTTCAAACTCACTAAGTACCCTCGATTGATTTGGTAAGTATCCTAGTGTCCCATAACCTATTGGTGGGCTAAAGTTCGGTTGAAGTACCCTTATCTCAATGAGAATGCTAGCTGATTTTCTCCAATGTGTTGTTTCCCATTTCCAGTTATACGTTGGATATTTATGAACTTCAGGATCGCAGATGCAGACTAATCTTCTTGTAGTTGTCACTGGAATGTTTTCTGCTTACTTTTTGATTGGAATGATCAAGAATTTAGACCAGTCTGACGGCACTCCCTTTGTTTTTCATACACTGGTTAGTGTATCCGCTCTACAGAGTAATTTTCTTCCTTTATGCCTCAACTTCTGGCAGAAAACCGTTATGACTTGTTGATTTGCATCTTTTCAGGTCCTCAGGAGCTTTTATAAATGTGAACAGAATTGGAGCACTAACATATACACTCCTCTTACGGTAGCAACAATCAGTCATGTTGTGCAATACAAGATCGGTAAATGATATTGCTAGACTATTTACTTCAAATGACTTTCGGTTATGGATGCACATTAAGCTATCATCTTAATACAGATACAAAGATACGCAGCTTCGTTATGTACTCGAAATCATCGTTGAATCGCTTTTAAAGGTTATTGTCTTCTACTTCGAACTTCAAAGTTTTCTATTCTTTCTTGAAATCGTTTTACAATACTGAGGTACTCGTTACATATTATCAAATCAAGTGACAACGGTAATAAGCCTCTTTGTTTAGTGATCGCTTTGATTGAAAAATTCGAGGCGATGCTGTGTTTAGGGTACCTTTTTAGTTATAATAGAGTCTTCAACACTGGTCTAAACTGATGTATAACATTGTTGTATCCAAACTACTGCTCACCTCAATAACCAGGTATGTGTACCATTTGTTATGAAGTAGCCACCGACGAAACTAGGTGTTATCCAAAAAGTTCACGTAGTAGCTAAAAAAGCTTCTTATCTTAGCAGTATGGAGTCATTTTGTTGCTAATCGAGTAACCTGTAGACAGTTTGGTGTTTTACTAAAACACTATTGATTCCCTTAAGTGTCTAACCTATGTTCATAATTTTTCATGTTGCTCTTTTTATTTTATTTAAATTAGGTGTCTGCCAGTGTCCTACGTAACCTTAGTTGGCGTACTGATAGCCGTAGTAAAGCTGCACTTCGACGTGTTTGTGCCGCTAAACGTCTAACTGTGGCAGCCATGACTGCTCAACGAGAAAGTACTTTACGAACTACACTTAGCGCCTTGTGGAATCTCAGCGCACATTGCTCTCAAAACAAACGAGCTGTATGCAGGTAATTGTAACTTTAAATATACACATTTCTAAATGAATTCTAAATGTGTTCGCAGCGTAGTGACTATATATAGGTTATCAATGTTTTGTCTTGTCGCTTTATATCTTGTTACGTTAATATAATGTAAGTCGACTTTGATCCTTGAGCAGTAATTTCACGGCTACTGTTGATATTAACTAAAAGTTTGAAGTGCAGATTATACTGCCATTTAGCTCTGTGTGTCACATCTAAGTCTTTACATCATATTATTATTATTATTATTATTACTTTTATTATTTTTCCCTTGGGTTCCCCGTGGAATATAAGGCTTCAGTTGCACGTCTCCATTTCACTCTCTGCTCTCTGCAGTCTTTTCAACCTGGCTCCACCACTGCCCACAAGCTCTCATTTCTTTCTCACTCCATCTCCTCCATGTCACCCTTGCCTCGAATGCCCAACTCGTCGGTCCTCCTTTGGATTCCACTCGAAGGCCGAGCCTAGTCTGTTGCGTGATGTCTCTGAATTGCTTTCTCAGTGTATGCCCGATCCATCTTCACTTTCTTCTGCATATTTGTTGGGCGATAGGTTCCTGGCTGGTTCGTTGCAACAGTAAGTTCCTTGTTGCTAATTCTTTCTGGCCATCTGATCTTCAGTGTCAGCATCGAGTGAGCGTAGGTGGCAACTGTTGATGATTGTCTACAGTTTGTTGGAAATGCTTTTCGTAACGTACCACCAAGTCAGTGAACCACCACATGGAAGCACTGACTTGACTGAATTAGTGTTGAAAATCCGGATCTTGTTCACGCCTCATGCTGGTTGGAGTGCAATGCAGCGCAGTAGATCTCCACATTGATTATTTCAGGTTAATGAAAGCCTTTCTTTTTGTCTTTCCGATGCTGGCTTTGACGTCCTCATCTGTGCCACCACCACCTGTGGTTGAAACGATACAGTCTTGTCTAGGTATGTGTAAGAGACTACTTCCTACAGGTTTCTCCCGTTCATGTTGATTGGTACTTGTTGTTGTTGTCTTTATTTGGGTATCTTCATCATCTCTGTCTTCTCTAAGTTCATTTGAAGGAATTCCCGTCTTCGCCACCTAGCCTCTTCTGTCAACTTGTTGGTTTTCGCCTGTAGATCCTCAAGTTTGTGTAACAAGACATTACACATAAATCATCACCGGTGGCGAAATCCAAATCTTCTACGCTCTTTCATCAGTCCAGCCAGCTTATGCCCATCCTCTCACTCCTCACAGCTGTCGGCTGCATGATCCAGTCGACCACGATCAGGAAGATCATTGGTGATGGTAGACGGCAGCCTAATCCTACTCCTATCTTCACTTCTAGGACGTCACTGTGCTTTCCACTGTGAATCACTTGACATGTGACGTCTTCAGAAAGCTGTTGAGTGAGGTTGATAAAGGTTTGTGGCAGTGAGATCGTAGTGTTGAAGCAGCTGCCTGCCAAATTACTTGTCGGTCGACGCTGTCAAAGGCCTTTCCAAAATCAATGAAGTTGAGGTAAGGAGTTGACTGCCATCCTACACCCTGTTCTATGATGATGTGTAGCGTAGTGTTGCAATTTGATCTGCACATGATTTGTTTTTCTTGAAGTCAACCAGCCAGTCTGTTCCGGTGGTATTTTTGTATGCAGAGCATTATTTAGTCTCTCCCCGATGAATGTGGCTTAATATTGTGCTTGGGGTGGACAGGGACAGAAGCATGATTGCGAGCCAGTTCTTGCAAAGACTTAGGTCCGCCTTCTTTTGGAGTTTCACAAGGTCAGTGGGCAGGTACCTTTCCTTCCTCTCTTCCTCTGAACTCTTCTGCAGTAGTGATGTGAGCATGTCCGCTGTTGTCTGTGAGTCTGTTTCCAGTGCTTTTGGCGGAATTCCATCTGATCCTGCTGCTTTCCCGGATCTCAGCAACTTCATGGAGAAGGGGTTTTGTTCACTGATAGTTCTGTGACTGAGCTGCTGGTGGTATTTCTGAACGAGTCCCAGGTGGTGGTGGTGGTGGTGGTGGTGGTGATGGTTGTCGATTCAAGAGTTTTTTTTGAAGTGGTCAGCCCACTGTCTCCTTTGTTTCTCTTCTTTAAGGTAACTAGGTTCCCTTCACTATCTTTCATTGGTTTCATCTGCGTTGATCTCTTCCCTCCGAGATAGTCACCTGATTATTTGATATAGTGTTGTGAGGTCTCTGTCTCTCCTACCCACCTACCTACAGCCTGTTCTACTTCACTTGCCAATGTGTCGTAGAAGTGTGTTTTGTCTTTGCGCGCACTCTTCTTCACGTCTTTATCCAGTGTAGTGTTTTATATGTTGTGTTCAGTTCCTCTTTTCGTTGTTCATCCATGCACTGCACTGCACTGCACTGCACTGGTTCATCTTCTGCTTCACCATCACCACCTTACTCCCCCTACTCTTTCAGCTTCCATGTGTCTGTGAAGATCCATTCCTTGTCTTGCCTCTTCTTCATCCTTCCTAACACGGTTATGTAGGTTTCTTTCCACATCGCTTTCACACAGTGTCAGTCTTCTTCCACGTAAGTTCCTTCACGAATGTTGCTCAATATCTCCCCTTTTGTCGTGATGGATGACGTGAAGATGTCGTTTGTAGTTTCATCCTTCAGCCCAGTCTCAGTTCTGGGTGTTGAACTTGAACTGTGGTTGTCTATCACCAACTTCTTTGAAGGCTTTCAATTTGATTTTAAAAATAAGTTCCTTGCACTAGATAGTGAGTGATGTGAACTTACATCTGCTCTTCTTTTCCATCTTGTTTCCAGTAGGCTGCGTCTTGACTTTCTTCACATTAAGATAAAGTCGATTCGAAGATGCTTTACACGCTTTCTTTTGAACGGCTTAACTCCCCTTTCGACCATACACAGTAGTGGATGTAGTGTGCTGCGTGTAAAATGCTAAACTGTACCTGAGAAGTTATTATATATATATATATATATATATATATATATATATCAATTTATATTTCTAGTGTGGATGGTGTATTCCCATTTCTACTGAGAATGCTACGTCTTCAAAATCCTGTGCAGAATCTGGTCATTATTGAAAACAGTGGTGGTATTCTACGCAATATATCAACCATTATCGCCTCGCGTGATGACTATCGGTAAGATTTCTTGTTATAATTATTGTTATTAGTAGGACTAAGTACAACCAATGGTACACCTGAACGGTTGAATAACATGATTATGAATGTAGTCATATTAAATGTTTACAAACTGAAGAAAAATTTAACTTTCTGACGTTGATATTAGTTCAATAAGATTAAATTCCATTAATGTAAGTGTGAAATCTGAGCATTGTGATAGCATTTAATTCCATATTACATTAGCCTATTTGATATGGCAGATAGTGATATAGTATTGTTTACTGGATAACGTTTCGAGTAAATACTTGATATGATAATGAGCAATAAATTCTGCTAGAAAAGTCATCTAGTTAGTAATGTCATTGTTTCTTCTCATCTCACTGTCTGGTTATATGTCATTGCATACACAATACATTTTTATGAAATTGGCCAGGTTTTAATTTTCTAGTAATCTCTTTGAACTTGTACGTCTACTTACACTCGTGTAATTGATTTCACAGTCCTTATAGAATATTTCGCTGTACGGATGCTGTGAAATATGAAATAACTTGTTTCTGATCTCAAGATTAACGATGCTTTCCTCAAATAACTGTTGGCTCTCATGTCTCTTGCTTTCGGTTGGAGTCATCTTTACCCATTTTCATCCACCTTGTGTAATAATACTGGCTTAGACAAGATAACAATCCGAACTAGTTGTGGTATCACTATTAGTACCATCCTTGTAACAGATGTATATACTCCTGGTGACTACAAATATGGACCTCGTTCCTTATATTGCTAAACTATAAAGAAATCTGTAGCAACCAGGTAGAGAGATTCGGATTATCATGCGTTCACATCTCCTGGAATCGTTCGTCAAATAACTATATAGTCCCAGAACTAAAAGAGCACTAAACCCTGCACTTTTGACTCCGGACAATGTGGGAACGCGCAAACCAGAACGGGATGGTGACTAACTAGGCTCGTGAGAGTTTGCGTATTACATCTTTTTCACTGAAATGCTTCCCAGCATCATCCTACCAACATTTGAAGAGCAAGTGGTGTTGGCTAAAATAATATCAAGTCTTAGTAATCATTAGGTTAAATAGTTTTTTAATAAATTTCGTTTTCACGTTGTATTTCATGATTCAATATTGTTTGTTGTCTTCGATTGTATTCTGGTTTCTAAATGAATTTGACTGAGTTTGCAACCAGATATATCTGCATATAATCCATATGTGTGCACTTTCTTCAGGAAGATCATACTCTCCTAAATGTTGATACATATCAACAACAACCTTAGCTTTTATCTAGAAAAACACACAATAACCGTTAGATGGATTCACTTCAAACCTTAGCATGAAAGTAACATTGAAATTTGTAAGTGAGAAGACTACTGAATATTTCACAGTACAATGTGCTTTAAGACTGATGTAGGGTTAACGTAAAATTAAAACTTTAGCATCGTGGTGGAAAATAATTCTACGTTAGATTGTTGTTTTGACATAGCATACAGCGATACAGTACTGCATACTTAATAATTATCCGAGCATAATTTGTTGCGCATAACTATATCAGGGTGACCACAGGACGTTCAAAATCCATATTTTAATTCAGTGTCATCTCTTTCGTTTATCTTAAGTGGTATTAGAATTCTTCAGGTATCTGTAGTGTTTGAAGAATCACTTCTGTTGCATATGTTAGGAGTCGATTTGGTGGTCAGAGATTCACTTCTCAATCTGTCTGCACACCTTAGTATAGTAGATTTTAAAATTTTTTTTGCTGGCAACCCTGCCTGTCCCGATTAGCGACTTTGTTCGATCTACCTGACCTCACAATGACCCCATGTCATTTAATATTGTTTTGCCTATCGGCACCTATAGGATCTTTTAATTTACAAAGTTTATTTCTAAATGAGTTTGTAGACTTAAATAACACTCTGATCACAGCATTATTATGAATTCCACACGGAATTTGTGATGTCCTTTCTCTTTACGGAAACACCACAAAAGATCTCATTTAAGCATGCTACAACTGCGCACTGTATTGGCAACGCAGATGTTGGTAGTTCAAGCCTTTTTGCCATCCAGGTTCGGAATTCAGCCATCCGCTGCCTCAGATAATCTGATTGACAGTGTCAGCTATTTCATAGTTGTAACTTTTATTTGTAAGTTTTCTGAATCGATTTTATGTTGAATTTTCATGTTGTAGTAATGAAATTTTCCTCTTTTGTCACATGTATTAGGTCTATACTTCATCAATACAATTGCTACTCGATTTTACTAGAATTGTTACGCAATCCACCCAGTTTAACAGTTGTCGTGAATGTTTGCGGAACATTGTGGAATTTAACCTGTTCCTCGTCAATTAATGCAAATGGCAATGTTGAAAATAACATATACAGCAATAACCTTCTTGTCAGTAGTCATAATGATCGCTTAATTCTCTTACACCTTGGTGCATTGGATTTAATTCAGTCGTTAACACAATCGAAGCATGATTTAATACGTAGCAGTTCTATGGCAGTCTATCGCAATTTAATACAAACTGATGCATCAACTAACCAAAATCATTTGCTGCCTCGAAATCGTGGTTTACATCATGTGAACTCTAACCATGATCCACCATCGAATGAATTTACTGGTACACAGAATCAAATTGTAAGCAATGCCAGAGATCAACCGTCTGATTTATACTCGAGGTCTCATGTGAATACTGCAAGTGGTGAAAATAGTACAAAAGAAAGTGATTCATCTTGCACTCTAGAAACATCATCACAATCAACAGCAGAACAAACCACCTGTAAGCGTCGTGTTTCATCATCAAGAACATCTCGACTTCGTTTTGGACTACTGTCCGTAGTATTTGAAGCCGAAAGTGACGATGAAATGGAAGATGATGATGAAGATGAAGATGAGGATGATGAAGGTGAAATGGAGGAAGTTGAGAATGGTGAAGAAAGCAACCGTATACATGGACAAGTGGAATATAAAACAGAAGACAACCTCCACCACCATCATCATAGAGGTCACACCATTCAAGGTGAACTGTCTGTTGGTGACCATTCAAAGTATTGTGGTATCACTTCTAAAAACCAGAGTATTAAAAATTCCGAGAGTTTATGTGATTCTGAAATCATGATGGCAGCGTCAAAAGGTCGTCATCGTATGTCAAATTGGTGTGATGATCTTGATTTTCATCATCCTCATTCACTTAGTCACACTGATAATACTGTGGATGAAGAAGCAGATGAAGAGCAAACATGTGTATACGCTGAGGAAGGTACACCTTTCCCACCAGACTCAGCTACTGCATCGTCATTAGAGCTGAACAAAACTGATGAGAAATTTTCACTTAATAATTTAAATATCGACTTCACTCCAGGTGACAATCTGATACATATTGGTAGTGGTGGACAATTTATCCGCATTAACAGTAATCCCAGCAGTAATAGTTATAATATCCCGCTGTCGATATATCGAAACGATCCAGTACCACACGTGTATGCTATGGAAGGTACACCATCCAATTGTGACAGTAATTTAAGCCATGAGGATAGCATGAATGGTACTGAAGGTGGACTGAGCGAAGTCGAATTCAGTCATAGGTCAACAACATTGAACGTTTTACCTCATAGCGTTACATCTGAAGCTGTAAACACTATCGAAGATAATGGATATCTGCCATCACCACCTGAAGATATATCAAATCTTGTTTCACCATTGGCATCCCTGAATTTAGAAGAGTGTGATAAGTATGCTGGTTGTCCTTTCCCTATGCCACCTCCGCCGTCTATTCCTGTAGCCTGCAGGGAATCAGATGTCGACAGCAAGAATGGTGCCTTCTCATCGAAACAAACACCGTTAGTATTTTCACGTGGTACATCGTCTTGCCTATCATCACTAGACTTGGAAGTCCCATTTAATGATTTTCAGTCATCACCAGAAAGTGAATACTCAGGTCAACATAGAAGTACTGATGTTGTCTCAATCACTAGTGAAAAGAGTGATCATTTTGGAAGTATAAATCGCAGTAAAAACTTAAATGGTGAATTATATGAAACTGATAGTTGCGTTGAAGAGGATGTCAGATTACCTTTCGCTGAAGAAGGCACACCACAGGACGCTGTATCTTTGACGGAAAATACCAATACCGTATACTTTCAGTCACATTCTTATGTCCAGTTGGATATGAAAAGTAATATGAGCGAGAATAAGAATACTTGCGAAGGTGGAGATGATGATGATGACGACGACGATGATGATGATGATGATAATCATAAACATTCTCAGATATTGCAACAGTGCATTGCATCAGCTATGCCTTCGAATAATACATATAATATACTGTCAGATCATTCACCTAATGTAACGTTTTCTAATCCTCCAGCTATCCTATTTAGTGAAGCAGATGATTCTTTGAGAGCATTTGCTGTAGAAGATACCCCATTTGGTACTTCAACGAAAGCTAGTTCACTAAGTGACCTGATCATGACAGGACATAAACCACTAGGAGAAGAAAAAAGTGATATGAATTCAGATTTTCCACTATATAATTCACAGTTACCTGATCATGCTTCTATACTACATTCAAATAACCTGAAAAACCGATGCATCACAGAAAGTCCAAGCGTTAATCGTGGTAGTTCGTCTACATCAAGTTCTCTGAATGGTGATACTTCATCTGATTTATTGTCCGAAGTAATACAATCAGCAATGCCAAAATCTGGTCAAATGAGACTGTCTAATTTATGCCCGGTTATTGATCCAACATCTTCAGATGGTGATTGTCTACAAATGTATGCACTTGAAGGCACTCCTGGTATAAATGATGATGATTTATCCGGTTCGTCTTCTATTCCAAATGATGAAGTTAGTATTCATTCAGTAGTGGCTTCTGAAATATCTAATTCTCTATCTATAGCTCCCACATCATCTTTATCCAAAATTGCATTCCAGATGTTGAATGCAGATCCACCCACACCACCGCTTCGTACCACATCTGCATTAACTAGTAGTTCAGATCCATTTAGTAAAGTTTCTGGTTTAACGAGACCAAGAGCAACAGTGGCTCCTATGTTGCAAACAAAGTCTCATTCCTTGAATTCACCGATTGTCTCTCGTTCTCAAAGTAGGTTTTGTGTTTTTCTCTTTTTGTGTTATTATCTAAAGTGTGATTTAAATTCATGTTTTTTCGTTAATCTGTCTTTTTATGAAGCACCAAGTATCCCCAGTTATTCATACAAACTCGATTAAACAATATACGAAACCCAGTTATCTTGCACATGGATTTGAATACCATGTAAAACGAAGGAAGAAGATTTCGGTTTTCGCTTGTAGAACTACAGCTTATTGACGCATGGTACCTGGTATTTCGTTACTACTTTGAAGTATTAATTTTCATAAGGAGAACAGACGATACAACTGCTTGGATTCTGAATTCACATTACTTAGGTGAACTAGTAGAAATAGTTTCAAAATATTGTTTTATTACTGCATGACTTCTTTATGCAATTCTGTAAAGAAATCGCAAAGTTAGCATATCTATAAAACGCAGTCATGGGGAAATTAGTTTTGCTAACATTCTGTTTGATATCTTATGCTGCATCATCATTCGATGCCTAGTTGAAGCCTGAACAAAGTGGTGAGATAAGTTGAATATTTAATGCTCAAGGGGAGCCGTATCAACCCAAATAGGTTGGTTTCTGAGGAAATCTCAGCTTGGATGCAAAGGGGCTGTTTGAATTTTGCCAGTGTACACCACCTAGGCATTAGTAAGTCATCTTACTACGTGTTAAAGGTAAAGTATTCTGTGTTGGATTCAGAACTATCCTATTATGTTTATGAGAAATGGTCATTAAGAGTGGGAGGTATGAATAGGCTACACGATTTTGATCATAGTTTCTGCCATAAAATCGTTATCTTGTAGGGAAACAGAGTGAGCACGTTTTCAGTCTAACATAGGGTTCCAACAAAGGCTACTACCTTAACATAGCTTGTTGCAATGACCAACGAGTTATACTGGTTGGGACATTTGTTTCTTGAGATCCTACCATTTCAAAAAGTTCTGTTGGATAGTGATATGACCGAACATAGTTACCATTATAGTGCAAGTAGCTGATATAATGGTTGCAACAGGAGGGCCAACTCGTGCTCCTGGTTGTGTGGGACGCACCAGCAATGAGACATTTCATGTAGATAATCAGTATCCCATACTTATGCGGTCTTTTCTTGTCAGAATGTGGGAGGCGGGGTCGAAAATAGCACATACTTCAAGTTTGAGTGTACCGCGCAATATTTCGCTTTTTTCTAATAAGTACCGGTAAAACATGACCAGTACTATGTGCTTAATGTTTTTTTGATTACATTTATGAACATTTACCTCATGATACTCCTATTCCTGCTTGTAATACTATCTAAAGTAGTATAGCCGTCAAATGCGTTGCGTTTACCTCAACCATCCCTCTTGATTCACTAACATTTTGCATTTCTTGTTGTTAATCCTCATGATCGATTTTACTTTCTCTTTTATTTGTGTTCTTTATACCGTTACTATCACTTAGATGTATCAGAACAATCGTTGAAATCATGTTTACAGCCTGATGAAAGCGAACGTAATGACTGTGCGCCATTACCAAATTCATCATTACCATCCTCGTCGTCACCATCTCATTACATAGGAGCTGATAAAGATGATGCTAGTTCTTTTTCATCATTATTGAGTATTGAATCTGTTGGGATGGAGCATTCTTTATTACAGGAATGCATTTCATCAGCTATGCCACGCCCAAAGTCAATATCACATCTTCGTAAACAACAACAGCAACAACAGTTCAACCAGCATCAAAAACAAAAACGTCAACAGTCTTCACCTTCTACATCATCATCACCTCCACCAGCTCAAGTAACTTTAAAAGAGGAGGAGGAGGAAGAAGAAAAATCGAATCATCACCTCGTTAGTAGTAGAGATATTGGTTGTTTTCAACCAAATGAAGCTGATGATATTCATTGTCATCAGACGTCATCGTCTAAAATACAAGTGTATCAACCACCAGCTACACCTCTAGTCTATCGGGTTCTAATTCTAAACACTCTCAAAGCAGTTTATCATCAAAGAAATCAAGTCAACAAAAGCAACAGTCTAAGATACCTAGTCAAAATCTACATAAGACTATCGCAAAATCAAATGGTTCATCCCAAGGCGGTACAATACATTTTTTAGATCATGGCTCCGGCGATGCACAACCACCTCCGTGTCTGAATACGAATGTAGCGATGAAGAATACCATTACAGCTAGTGATATTACTACCTCTTCCAATCCCACTATCACTACCGACTTTGTTGTCATTAATAGTAATAATAACACAAGGAAGTTACCAGTATTGAATCAGGACAGCTGTGCATCCTATGGAGGTATAATTCCAAACGGTAAGTGGTTCTTTTTGTTATTTAGTAAAATTGTTTGTTAGCAACCATCCCAGTCAAATGTTATTCTATCACAAAGCATGTATAGCTGCTCATACTATAACCCATATTTATCATGTTTTGTTTTACGATGTCACTTGGGATCATTTTGATAGTGGGATGTCATCTATGGTCTCCAACTATTGGTTCGTAACATCTCAAAGATTCTAACTAATACGTTAACATTTAACAATTCTGGGTTGTATTAACCCATCTATTGGCTAGTCAAGTAGTCAGATCAGCGTAGGACCCTGTAGTGAAGTGTACCGATTAGATTTGCAACATTCTGTTTCAGCACTGAAACGGTCACGTAATTGGAGAAATACAATTATCCAGTGTTGGTAAGTGGTTTGAAGTAGGCATTTGTTTTTGGATAATCTGTAGCACCATGGGCAAATTAATGTCTGCATTAGTTATTGACAAAATTGCAATTCAGTTCCCACGTTTATTGGTTCGTGAGATAGACTATACACCACACTTTCGATTTTTCAGGATTTTACTCCAATCCAAGATCGTTCATTCAGTTTTGAGCATTTGAAAAACAGAGTTCTATTTAAAAAAGACCGAGATAATATATAGGTTTTTCAAACAATCAAAACGAAAATGTGAGTGTTAAGCATATTTCAAGTTGTTATTCATCATAGACTGACATCAGTTGGAGGAGCAAAGGAAACCTGGGAGCACTGGACAGCCGTTTCGCCCCAGTATGGGACTCCTCAGCAGTGTTAAACATATGTTTTGTGGTGGTCGGAAGTACATGATTGCTCACAACGTTTTTTTGTTGGTAGTTTTCAACTCTTTTCACAAACCTGAAACCCATTAAGAACATTGAAACTATTCTTTGAAGGAGGAGTGCCACTTCGTTGTATGTAGTGTACAGCTGAATCACACCATTTTCAAAAGATGCAGGGAGTTTGTTGGTGTTGAGTGCTATTTCTGTTTTATACTTATGGTATCAAATGATGTGATATTGGATAGTTGAAATGGTCAGGAGGAAACTTGAGAAGTTGGTGTCGTATTTGTTGGCGATTGGCCCGCAAGTTATGTATCCGCAGTCTCGAGGCAACTTTTGTTACTCCGGGGGTTCGAACTGTTAGTGTCACCATGTAGGACAGTATAGAGCACGAAAATGTAATACTGGGTAGTCATCTGATTCTTAATGTTGACCGATGGACTTCTGAATTGAAAATACAGCGCAATGCAATATCGAATTATCTGTCATTTTAGCTGTATTGCAAAATCGATTGATAGAATCCAGTCAACACCGCAGACTAAACACTGAAAGGTTGGTCACCCATTTATTCAATTCATGCATATTGGTGATGTTAACTCTCTCATTTCTATCCAAACAGCTTATATCTCTATTTGTTACCGGTGAGTAAAATAAGGCAGTTTTTTGCCCAACAGATAGCTGTGGGACACTTTTATCTATACGGTTTCACTCATTTTTACTATGCACGCAAACGTCTTCATATTTTACCAGCCGTCTGTTAAATGGTTATATGATTTTGGTTCCAACTAGTTCTGGAAGTGAAAACAGATTCATTTACACAAATCCTTTCTAATATAATGGAAATTGGTGATCATTAGACCCCAGTCAAAGCGACATGCGAAATTTGGAACTCTTGGACAGAAACACTGAGACCTTTTGTTGAATAGAACAGTGGACATGTAACTGTCAGCTCTAATATCCAGTCGAACAGTGATCATTCTTCCTAAAAAAATAATATTATACCTTTACCTATAAGACCCTGAGAACTATTTATCGAATCTTCATAAACGCTAAGAGTGATATTTGCTTATTTATCATGTTGACCGGGTTAGTTTAACCGAATAGCCTCAATTGAATCCTGCATGGGTATCTCAAAGACAACATATCCGTGGTGAGAGATACCAGAGTTTTGCTTAGCAAAAAAGTATGTGGACATTGGAAGCTGCAATATGTAATTCAGTGTTGTTTCAGGACGTTAGGAATACTGTTTTATGAACTCAAATAGTTATCAACGCTTGCAGAGCTGCAAGAAATTAAAGCTTAAGTAGGAATATTAGCCGAGAGATGTGAGGAATGATCGGAAGTCGAAGATGTGGAAGGTTGTTAGTAACTTGAGTGCACATAGAGTTGTGAAAGTGATTGACACTTCCCAACTGTCTTCACATTGTTGAAGGTTACTTATTTTTTACGAAAAACATTGGGGTTTTAATGGTAATTATTTGTGACAGAACTCAAAAGATATTTCCTTGAGGCCACTCACACAGGGCCTTTTTGGAAGCTGGATATCATCGGAAAAGAAAATTCTCCTCTTTAAGTTTTGATTTCTAAGTTCGTAAGTTGTGAATGTAGCTATGAAACCGATACCACTAACGCAAAAAGACTCTGAGACGATGAAGTTTGTGCTATTTTTGAGGCTAGTTTTTTCTGGCCCTTTCATTTCAGAAGAGGACTTCTGTTTATTTGTATGGTAACACCTTACTACTGTCATACTGGATCCAGCCGGCAGTGCGAACCTCGAACCTCCAGTATGCTATAGCTATTTATAGTACAACGATCACCTCTATGTAACAGATCTTCCTGGTATAGTTGAACCTCCAGGGAACAAGTGTTCTAAACAAGGCAAGTCACTGGGTCATTGTGATGGGTAAGCTCAATCACTACATTAATGAAACAGCTATTGGTCGTGGATGCATAATCGCGATTGCTACTCTCCTTCATATCGCTTTATTCATGTGTAACTACTTGTTATGGTGTTTCTCTATCCAATTTTTCGTTTTTTAGCTGACAGCGAGGATTATAAGACATCTAAATTGTCACTACGCAGTAATAATTACTCTACAGACACATATTCTTCACAATCTTTGCTGCCTACCACTATTCAGCTCTCAAAAAATTGCAACAAAGTTGCTATTCATAATAACAAGTCTGGTTTACGTGCTCCGTCTATCAAAACTAAACCGAATACTTCAAATACGCTGAATGATAAGCACACAAAGAGCATAAAACATTCCAATGTTATTGATATACTTGATCCTAAAGATATCATTGAACTATTACAAAAGGGCGCTGAAGTAAGTATTTCACTAGGGTATGTTTTCTGCTTCACTTTAAATTCTAATTCATTCCGGTTCTTCACATTTATTTTCTTTAGTGTGTGATATGGAAAACATTTTCTTTTGAAAATACAAGAAGTGTTTCGATGTGTATATAACAAATATATAGTTATCAACGTCGTAATTTCTTCAACAATGCTCACACTAATCAACAACAGATCTCTTACATTGCATCAGAAGGCGATGTAAGTGATAAACAGTTGTTTCTGTGATCATCATTAGTAATCCAAACCTGTAGGTTCACACCACTCACTATCTAGTGCAAGGAACTTATTTTTAAAATCAAATTGAAAGCCTTCAAAGAAGTTGGTGATAGACAACCACAGTTCAAGTTCAACACCCAGAACTGAGACTGGGCTGAAGGATGAAACTACAAACGACATCTTCACGTCATCCATCACGACAAAAGGGGAGATATTGAGCAACATTCGTGAAGGAACTTACGTGGAAGAAGACTGACACTGTGTGAAAGCGATGTGGAAAGAAACCTACATAACCGTGTTAGGAAGGATGAAGAAGAGGCAAGACAAGGAATGGATCTTCACAGACACATGGAAGCTGAAAGAGTAGGGGGAGTAAGGTGGTGATGGTGAAGCAGAAGATGAACCAGTGCAGTGCAGTGCAGTGCAGTGCATGGATGAACAACGAAAAGAGGAACTGAACACAACATATAAAACACTACACTGGATAAAGACGTGAAGAAGAGTGCGCGCAAAGACAAAACACACTTCTACGACACATTGGCAAGTGAAGTAGAACAGGCTGTAGGTAGGTGGGTAGGAGAGACAGAGACCTCACAACACTATATCAAATAATCAGGTGACTATCTCGGAGGGAAGAGATCAACGCAGATGAAACCAATGAAAGATAGTGAAGGGAACCTAGTTACCTTAAAGAAGAGAAACAAAGGAGACAGTGGGCTGACCACTTCAAAAAAAACTCTTGAATCGACAACCATCACCACCACCACCACCACCACCACCACCTGGGACTCGTTCAGAAATACCACCAGCAGCTCAGTCACAGAACTATCAGTGAACAAAACCCCTTCTCCATGAAGTTGCTGAGATCCGGGAAAGCAGCAGGATCAGATGGAATTCCGCCAAAAGCACTGGAAACAGACTCACAGACAACAGCGGACATGCTCACATCACTACTGCAGAAGAGTTCAGAGGAAGAGAGGAAGGAAAGGTACCTGCCCACTGACCTTGTGAAACTCCAAAAGAAGGCGGACCTAAGTCTTTGCAAGAACTGGCTCGCAATCATGCTTCTGTCCCTGTCCACCCCAAGCACAATATTAAGCCACATTCATCGGGGAGAGACTAAATAATGCTCTGCATACAAAAATACCACCGGAACAGACTGGCTGGTTGACTTCAAGAAAAACAAATCATGTGCAGATCAAATTGCAACACTACGCTACACATCATCATAGAACAGGGTGTAGGATGGCAGTCAACTCCTTACCTCAACTTCATTGATTTTGGAAAGGCCTTTGACAGCGTCGACCGACAAGTAATTTGGCAGGCAGCTGCTTCAACACTACGATCTCACTGCCACAAACCTTTATCAACCTCACTCAACAGCTTTCTGAAGACGTCACATGTCAAGTGATTCACAGTGGAAAGCACAGTGACGTCCTAGAAGTGAAGATAGGAGTAGGATTAGGCTGCCGTCTACCATCACCAATGATCTTCCTGATCGTGGTCGACTGGATCATGCAGCCGACAGCTGTGAGGAGTGAGAGGATGGGCATAAGCTGGCTGGACTGATGAAAGAGCGTAGAAGATTTGGATTTCGCCACCGGTGATGATTTATGTGTAATGTCTTGTTACACAAACTTGAGGATCTACAGGCGAAAACCAACAAGTTGACAGAAGAGGCTAGGTGGCGAAGACGGGAATTCCTTCAAATGAACTTAGAGAAGACAGAGATGATGAAGATACCCAAATAAAGACAACAACAACAAGTACCAATCAACATGAACGGGAGAAACCTGTAGGAAGTAGTCTCTTACACATACCTAGACAAGACTGTATCGTTTCAACCACAGGTGGTGGTGGCACAGATGAGGACGTCAAAGCCAGCATCGGAAAGACAAAAAGATAGGCTTTCATTAACCTGAAATAATCAATGTGGGATCTACTGCGCTGCATTGCACTCCAACCAGCATGAGGCGTGAACAAGATCCGGATTTTCAACACTAATTCAGTCAAGTCAGTGCTTCCATGTGGTGGTTCACTGACTTGGTGGTACGTTACGAAAAGCATTTCCAACAAACTGTAGACAATCATCAACAGTTGCCACCTACGCTCACTCGATGCTGACACTGAAGATCAGATGGCCAGAAAGAATTAGCAACAAGGAACTTACTGTTGCAACGAACCAGCCAGGAACCTATCGCCCAACAAATATGCAGAAGAAAGTGGAGATGGATCGGGCATACACTGAGAAAGCAATTCAGAGACACCAGGCAACAGACTAGGCCCGGCCCTCGAGTGGAATCCAAAGGGGAGCGACGAGTTGGGCATTCGAGGCAAGGGTGACATGGAGGAGATGGAGTGAGAAAGAAATGAGAGCTTGTGGGCAGTGGTGGAGCCAGGTTGAAAAGACTGCAGAGAGCAGAGAGTGAAATGGAGACGTGCAACTGAAACCTTATATTTCACGGGGAACCCAAGTTACAAATAACTTTAATAATAATAATTACTTATATGTTGTTTGAAAATTATGCCTTATTTTTTTGGCATCTTACATGACGTTGAACAAAGTGTCTTCACTCCTGTCAATTGATTTAACTGATGAACCCAAGTTAAAGTTTCATGTTACTCTTTGTGTTTTTCACGCCCGATTGCTTCCTTTATTGGTCACCAAATAAATTGAATACAAGTTAGAAAATCCGCAATATTTGATTTAAATTGACAACTAATGCATATATATGCATACAATTCTAAGACAGAATAAATCATAAGAATACAACAGTTATTTTGGGATGAAAGAATGTTAAAAATGAAGTTTTAGAAACCTTTTCAAAATTTTTACATAAAAATATCGTTGAATTAGTTTCAAATAAATACAGTTATTGACTGGATTGTATTCTATTACTAGATAGATTTACACTCTTCCATCCTTTGTTCCGTTATAACAATATCCAAAAAAAATAGATAAAATATCAACTGTTTGACTATTACTATCGATTTGGACCATCTTCTCATACAAAATTTTAGTATTAGTTGCATGAAACCGCAGCTTTTTACTGCACTCTTTTCTCTATCACACATGCCATTAGTATAATCCTGATGAAAATCTAGTTTCTGTCAGGAAAAATAGAGAACGGAAAAGAGACCTTCTTTAAGCATAAACTTCAAATTTCCTAGTAACGGAATATAATTTACGTCGCTGTCATCCTCTTTTTTTTTAATTCTGTTTCGGTCGAATAAGCGGAAAGAGAAAGAAAGAGGAGAAAAGAAATAAATTTTCCTAACTAGAAAATTCACAAATTGGTTGAAATAATTGAAATTCTTCGTTGCTTGAACGGCATATGAAAAATGAGTGGTGATTACAGTTAATTTATTTTTTTTAAAATGCACTAGTTACTGACCTTTTGTTTTTGACTTACTGTCAATTGTTCTGTGTAGCAACGGTGATTGACGATGTAAGAGAAAACCTGGTTGACATCACTATTTGAACGAACAGCCTCTATGTAGTACTGAAATTTCAGTATTTCAGTACAAAAAACAAAGTATGCATGCACCTAGATACAAAGTAAGGAAGAATTGGCTTTGTAAATGCGTATAATACTATTCTTGGAAATGACTTACATCGGCCTCGTTACTTTATTCTCAAGCACTACGTCTTGGATTGCAAATACTTTGATTTTTTTGACAACCGATAGGTATTGTTTTTTGCTGCCTACAACGTGTATGTGTTATAAAGTAATGCATAAAATGATGGGGTTGCACATCATATTGCGAGTGTCTCCATAGGCCACCCTGATTGCTACTGAAGTAACCAATTAGTTAGTTTTTGTCGTAAAATAAAAAACCTTGTTGGCTATTTCATTAGCTATCAGGATTGTTTTTGTAGTCACCAGATGCAGTCCATAGTTGTTGTCATCGCGTGAACCCTTGAAAATGTTTTTTTCTGTTTTTGACTTAAGTGTTCTGTTTATTGCTTGTCCATTATAAGGCTGAACGAAGGTATCACACTTCCATGCTGATGAACACAGAAAGCGATCAGTGTTTCGCGTTATTCAGATATTAATATTGTATTTAAGGAAATAGGTAGAAAATTTACTAGGAAATAGGAAGGGGTGACGGATGAATGAGGTTATTCATTATTGATTTACTGGTAATTATATTGTCGGTATACAGGACTGTCAGTTTTATTAGCTTCTATACCTTGAAGTGTTTTTAACTATGAACCATCAAACAAATTTAACTAAATACTTACTGCATAAACATGTGCTAGATTGAACTGCATTATTTATACTCATAAAAAATGGCCACTAAAGGTGGAGAACTTGTGGAACCTTCATGTATTCCACCGTTGTTGACTTCATAGCAGCGCCTGCAACCGGTCGAACCACCACATGGATAACATATAAGTAAAACATAAAGTCCTGAGTGAAAGAAGTCAGTTTGTTGACCACTTTGTGAGCCTTCTTTGACTGAGATGACTGGGACATACTTTACGTAACCTCTAGTTAACTTATTCGCCTATTTACTATGTTAACTGAAGCAGGGTTAGATTGATAAAAGGTTAAGTGTATTCAGATTGAATCGTGGCATCAGTTCATGACAACTCTGACTGTTCGTCCTAGCCGTGTAGGGAGACGTGAACTTCCAGTGTGGTGTCCGCATAACAACCGAAACTGGTGTTTGTAGACTCTAAGTGATATGACTCAGACTTGGTCACATTTGTGTGGAGGTATACACAAACTATCTTCATCCTAACGTTTATATCACATTTCGTTGTTTTTTCCCCTGTTGTTTAACTACGATTTCTACGACATTACATTGCATTTTCTTAAACTGTCACTCAATACTGTCATGTTACATTTCGTTGTTGATAGACTGATTGACTATCTCTCTCTCTCTCAATTGAATTTTCTTGATTCACATTAATTTAGCATTGTAAGGTATCTTGAAATAACAGATTTGACTGTTCATCTTTTTGCCGCTCATAACGTTCATCTGTTCAGTTTATCATAGTTTTTCCACTACACAACTCAATTGTCAATTGATTGAAGTCATTAAAGTAAAATATTTTTTAAGAATATTAATGTAGGTAGAGAAAAACCATGATCGACATGGGCTGGTTATGTTTGGGTTATGAAGACAGTCGGGCAGTTTGACCTCGTATTTATAAGACGTAGATAACTATCACCCGATTCGAATAATCTTACTTTGAAAATGAGAAATGTAATATGTTAGGGTACGTTTATATATCTCCCTGTATTTTATAACGTGGCATATTGCTATTCAAATCAACGTGCAAATGATAGCTAGTTGGCAGATTATTTTTGAAGATTAAACGTAGAATCCTAAGCAAGACAATAGCAGTCCAGCTGTCTACATACCACTATTACTCATTAAGACATCATGTTACATAATGAGGGTATGACAAAGCAGAAGGCACGTAATGAAATGTTCAGGAATGTAATTGATGTTGATTGTATTGTGTTCTTTGAGCTGGGTTAAGCTACAAATATTCTCCACCATTTCAAAAAGTGATTAATAAAATGAGTACACCTGCACTATTTTAATCGATTATAAGTTAGTATATCCATCTTTTGCTAGCATTTCAATAACTTGTTTGACAGCCTACATCTCCATATATAGCTTAGACTTCATGGATTTATGTAATATATTAATTTGATCATATTCAGTACTCTTCTAATGCCATCATACTTCATGTAATATTTGCCATATAGGCAGATAATTGCTTTGCATGCGTCACTTGTATCCTAATCACTCTGATTCTTCTAGGTTCGTGACGTCATCAACTCTTCTTCACCTAGCACTCTACACTTTACCATAATATTGGTGATATAGTAGTTTCACTTCTTATGAGCCATACTTCTAGGACATCTATAACTGAATTCCTGTGGCATATATTTCACTTTTAACAAGTATTTCTCAACTGTGATTATGCACTTTGTTGTTCATTACACTTTCGCTTCGAATTTAGAAAATATCAAAGGGACGTTCAGATCCGCTGTTTAGGTTCCTAACAAACGGCTTATTTAGGCTGATACAGCTTTTCCACCCTTCAGTTAGATTTCGGGGAAAATGCAAACTCTTTTCGTATGTAGTTGTGTGTCGAAAATTTTGGCTATTTTGCTCGAGTGACCCACATAATTTTCTTCTTTACCCTCAATATTCTCAGTTCTCAGCACTTTTATCTCTTTTTTTAACAGACTGTTGTTACCGACCTAATGAAATCATGCCAGTATGAAGTTAGAAATGATCCTAGTGATGAGTTGAAAAATGATTCTCATCTAGACAGTAATGCTTCAAGCTTAGAACTTCTGCCAGAACTCATTGATCTGGATCGACCAGATGCGTTGTTTAAGAATAATCTTGGCAACAATAATCATAAAACAAATGAAGTTAACTATAATGAACCAGTTGACACTAGCATTAAAGCACCATCATCTACAGGAGTTACTAGCAGAAAACCGCTAATATCTTCGTCTAATACACCACTTTCCAATATTCAATCAGTAAATTACAATCCCTTGTATTCACCATCGGTCAAAACAACTAACCCATCGAAACCTGATAACACCTTTAAGAGTAAGTTGGTGAGAAATGGAATTCCAATTGTTTCAAGGGCGGCTTCAGGCAAAGTGATTGGTAATTTTTCTAATCAGATTATGAACAATAACGTTGGTGGCGGTGGTGTTAGTAGCAAAAATAGATATCAGGTAATTTCTGCTCGTGTTTTCTTAAAGAACAATTGTGATTAACTTGTTTGGATGACTAAGCTTATTAACAACTTTGTTTTCCTTCCAATGAAATTTTCTTGTGCTGGTTAACAGTGGAATTCACAAAGCAATTTTCATCTCCTTTGGACTCGTGATCTGGATGTATACTTGCATTCCAATGGATGATAATGTTCCCATTGAGACTTGAATTCAGCAACCACTGTTTGAAACTGTCAGAGGCTACTAAATCATGAGAGGCATGTCTTGTATAATGGGTATCAAGTGTAGTTTCCTATCGATTACTTTACTGAATCTGCATTCTACAGTGTGGATAACGATTATCGACAGTAGAAGAGAATCTGAATCAGCGTAGTACTGTATCGTACTCTGAAGTGCAAGGTCTCAGAAACATTCAGGGGCTGAAGGAAACTGTGGCTTGTTGGTTTAAACATTCGACTTTTGAGCAATGCACCACAGGTTCCGATCACACTCCATCTGATTTAGCATAAGTAGTCGGATTTTATCTCTAGCTAATAGGGTAACACATAAGCATCTGTATGGACTGTTACCCCATCATTAATAGTCACTGAATATACGGATTAACAGTTATTTTGATTAAGCTATCGCAGGATTTCTAAACTCTGTCACAATACCATACTGCTTCTAGTTTTCTTTGATTAAAGGTGTTTTCGTCAATCTAGATACATCTAACATAGTACTACCTCATATATGTAGTACAAAAGTTTATTGTAATAAATGAGATTAGAAGAAGACACAAGATTGTTTTATGAATTCAGTCGATCAACTCTCCGTTGACAATCCATCTAACCGAACAGCACAAACGTAACCGAGTTCTGATTTCATCCGGCTTTATGGATTTTTTTTCCAGCTCTTGGTGACCTAAAGAAAACTGTCAAGTGACTATAGGATGAGGATTAAAATGATAGAATAGGTTGACCTCTTCACCACCTTGGTGGTGTGTGAAATTATCTCAGATGGTTTGGTTGACGAAATTTTAACTCTGATACATTACAAGTATTTGGCATTGGCCCACACATGCTATCTCTAGCACTGGCGAGATAGCCGACTACTTATTAAACTACAAACATGCTGTGAAACGTGACTGTTGAGAGTAGAAGGTCTGAAGAGAATAGTTTTTTTGAACAAAAACCGTCTTTATAGCATTGGTCTCGTATAGTAGAATCAAAATGTAAGCAATTCCGAGGATGGACGTGGGATACTAGGCTATGAACCTTCAATGACTACCATTACTCAGACACTTGTTACGGGTGCCTTGTTATGCTATCACTTTACGTGGCGCATTGCGTATTGCCCGTGATGTAATAAGTTTGCACTTAAGTAATAATTAATGGAATTTTCCCCTGCTGTTGTAATGCTGTTACGCAATAAAAATTGAAGGTTAGACTGTAAACATTGTTTGGCATTCTACTTCTTAGTATTTCCTTCATCATACATTGGTCAATATTTATCAAATCATAGGAGAACAGTGCAGATTTTGTAACATTCAAAACCTGATTACATTCATGTATGCTTACGTATGCATATTCTAACTGTAAGCATACATGTTGTTTTTTTCGAAATTCTCAAAATGATATTGAATCGTAGCCATGTTACTTTATTGATTGGTTTTTACAGTTACAAGTGACACCGAATGACTCATCTTTTATTTATATGATTTGCAATTATAAAGTGACTGATTGCCCTCAAGAAACAACGAAAACAATAAGTTGATGTTTTGTCCTAATTCGTAAACAGATTCTGTAGCTTGTTATTTCGATGTTGAACGCATCTTTTTGTTTCTGATGTTTATGTCTGGCCAACTCAGGAATATGACGAATGAAGTTGACGTTTAAGACAAATCGGTCTTGGTATCTAACATGCTTTACAAATATCAGTCGGAGAAACTGGCTGTTTATATTTATGTTAACTAGAGAGCTAATGATAAGCGGCTGACACTGAATATCCGGTGCATTTTTGTTTATAACCTCTTGGTTATACACTTTCTTGATCCAACACAGTTTCTTCCTAAAGACTCAAAGGACTTCTGACTGTCTTGGTAACATTTCCTTCTAATATAAATCGGTATGTTCACAACGTTTCCGGTGTTGTACTGCATAGACGTGGGACAGACAGATAGGCGAAATCAATATACAACCTCACACGCAAATCCATCGGTCCAAGTTTCCACGCTTCAGGACAGTATACAAAGAACAAGCGAAAAGAAAAAGAGTGGCGTTAAAGTACATCAGCTATGCGAGAGAATAAGCAATTTGAAGACAACGGTTACTGGAAATTATAAAGCTTTAGAAGACATCAAAGAGTGGAATACGTTTGCACCATTGTGACCGAATTTCAGCCATTTCACCTAAAGTTCTTAACTACTGGATCCTATCGTCTGGGGAACACCAGCTAGGTAGGCTACATATTCTCCACATGACTCAGACCAACAGTCAGGGACTACATGGAATGGTGCCAGGTCCTTTCCTGGCCACCATGAAGTCTCTTTCAACCTTATCCAACTTTCCCTAGCACGTCTAAGTAGAGGGTGTTTCAGGATATGTAAATTAGAGGTTCCATCTCTAGACCTCAAAATTTACTGACTATGTACAAAAAATTAGTGAACTACATACAAATATACAATTTGAAAACTTATTTTCTCAAACAGTTGACTTGGCTGTGTCATCAGATGACGAACCGATCAGGTTTAAAAATACGTTATTCAACAGCTGGTAGCAGTACAAAATGGTAGAAGTTCCGCAAACAGTTTTTTGATTAAGCAACATCAGGAAGCTTTACAAAAGTGGGGTAAGTTGGACAAGGAAGGAGGTGTAATGTTATTGGACAAAGTAGGTGAAGAAATTCTCTTCTAAGTTGATCAAACCCAATTTCGGAGGACTAGTAATTCCAGAGATTTGAATACAAAATGGGAAAGCAGCTGACAAAGAGATGTAATCTCAGCAAAGTCAGATGGCTCACTGAAGCCCATAGGATGTAACATACCACGGCTTTATGGTCTGCGTTCGTTTGGTCTTCAATATGCGTAATTCATTATATGATAAAGTTGTAAAGTGACTAGTTCAGATCTTAGGACCCCTTCACAAACTAATCGTAAACTATGTGTACGGTTTTTTCTTCAAGGTGACACAGTTCCCTTTAAGGGGGAAATGTAGGATGTCACTAGAAGTATCATCACTCACTGAGACAGTAGATTTCACATGTTAGCAATTGATAAGCAAACAAATCAACATTGCAATTTCTCAGCCTAATTTCGAAGAATTGATTCTCGGATGTACAATTCTTGTAATTTTAATCCTCAGTTACGTATATTATTGACAGATAGATGGAATTGCAATGAGCTCATCATTAGGTCCGGTCTTTTCAGATTTCCTTCTATTCAAACAATAGATGCTATCGAAAGGCTAGACATGTATGACCGATTAGTGGATAACGCCTTTGTAGTCATTTTAACAATTTTCATTGCTTCACTTGCCTTAACTTACAAACAATACGATAACAAGCTAAACTTCATTCATGTTCTATTGCGTAGAGGTGATGGCTCACTCTACAGAAGTGTGTGCAGAAGAAGCAGATCTACATGTCAACACTCATACTTTTTATACGGTGTAAATGGAATGCAATGAAGCTTTTATGAGTTACAGTATATTTTGAACTTGTTCACAAAGTTACAATTGAATGGGGATATACTTAATGAGATCCTATTCTACCATTAAAGGAACTTTTCGTGCATCTAATCTCTGTCTCTCACTTTCGAATCAACAAATTGTTTCGTGATAAAGGAAGGACAAGTCACTTCCATATGTATTTATCGAATTTATTTGCTCCTGTGGAGACAGTTATATCAGGCGTACGACAAGGCAGGTTAATCAGTGTACACCATTTAAGATCTACTTTCGTGGCTAGAAGAAGCGTAAGTTAAATCTTTCAGAAGTCCTATTTTGTCGCACCTACTCGATAATGATCATAGGGTGAATAAAACGAAGGCATTCAAAGTGACTTACGGCATCTCACCGAACCTTACCGGTAGAGTTCAAACTCACTTTTTACATATAGCTGGAGCTATTAGAATTTGAATAAATCATCCCTAAGCACTGTATTCAAATGAAATTTATCCCTCCCTTGGCCATGGAAGGGATTATTTACATCGAAGATATGTAACAAAATAAACGTGATCTGAGGTTGAAGTGTAAAACTTGGGCACTGTGGTAGAATGTAATTTCATATTAGATTTGTTTATTTGATATATAGCGCACAGTGATACAGTATTATTTACTTGATCTGAGGTTATTTTGCATGTTCTCATGTGAATTAAATAATGGATTCACCAAGAATTTGCACGAAGAAATTAGTAATTCAAAACATTCTAACTCTCGTCATTTCTTTGGACGGATAACCAATATAATTACTCTAAGGATTATCTGTTTCTGATGACAGTGATACAACTTAGTGAAACCCAGTTACATTAATGTAATCCACCATTGTTTTTTTAAAAGACAAATTTTGTAAAATATGAAGAGCTATGTACTTGACGGTTAATTGTGTCAAGACTACGGGCGTCTCTATATTTCAAGCAGAAAACGAAGCATCATTTTATTTTTCTTCTTTTTTTTTTCAGCCGACGACTGTGAAACACATTAATCACGCTAGCAATATAAACACAACGTATAAGTATAAGAAGGGTATCACTCATGTTGTAGCAGCAGTGAATAACACGTATAAAATCCCGAATCAAATAAATAATAATAATAATGGTAAAAAGTCCACTAAGTATATTAAACAACAAAACCATCATCAACGTTCGGCTATGACAGAACCACCATCTGTACAAAATCGGTCGTTAGCCACTAGTCGTTCAGTATCTGCTGCAAGTTTAATATCGAATCCAAAGTCGATTAACCAATCGAATGAATCAAATATCATCCCTCCACATAATCTTGTTAAACCAAGTAATCAACATATGTCTGCTGAGTCGATATATGCTGCTCTTGTTAAACAGGATAAATTAAGGAATCAACATCGTCATAATAATTATAGTAATAATGGTAGTAATAATAATAATTCTAACATGAACAGTAAACTCATAACTAAAACCTCATCTGTTGGAATTTATGCAAAATGTCGAGCTAGCAATAGATCATCAATAAGTGGAACATCTCATTTCAATCATTCTATTGGACATATTGCCTCAGCGGTTGCTCTTGCTAGTAGTGGTGATGTTGGTCGTGGGATGATGAAGACAAAATCATTTGAAGCAAAACAAGATCACTCACTTCAAGGATCCAATGATTGTATTCCCATTAATCTATCATATGATAATAGTTCTTCTATTATCGGGGGAGGAGGAGAAGGAGTCAGCAACACACCTGTCATAGCATCGACAGCAGAATTATCTGGATCTACTGCAACAACGACAGGATTATCTAAATGTGATAATAACTCAAATATATCAGATATTCCTAAACCCATACGTGGTGGGCGAAAGTCTTTGACAGGTTGGTTTAATTCTTTGGGCATTTTTTGTCAGCTGTCATTTCCTGGATTTTCATTCTGGATTGTTTTTCTTATTGATAGTAGGACTTAGTTGCCGACACTTGATCTCTTAAAATAACTATGATGTGGTAGTCAGTATGTATAATTCAGGTTGCAGATGTTCTCATCATTTCTCTGTTACGCTTTAATTTCTCTGGATTGGTATTTTTTGTAGCTGATTAGTTTCAGCACGCACGTCTTTCAAAGAATATATCACCCTCCTTCTATCTGAATTAGTGTGTTGTATCATCACACTCATAACTATCGATTGATAGCTGCTACCTTAACGTGGTTGTCGAGCTTGCATATCACAATGACCCAACGAGCTATGCTGGTGGAACACTTGTTCCCTCGAGGTCCTACCATACCAGAAAGGTCTGTTGGGTAGTGGTTAGACGAAAAGCAGTTACCGTTATGGTGTAAATTGCTACACTATGATGGGGGTCTGAGGGCGAAGTCGTACTGCTGCTAGCTGGATGGGGTGTGACAGCAGTAAGGTGTTTCCCTTGGATGACCAGCAGTGCCAAGCTGATGCTGCCTTCTCAGTGGAAGGGGGGGTTAGAAAAGGTCGGCCCCAAAAATAACACACTCCACCACGCCCCACGGTCTGCCGGGCCGGCGGTGTTGGTTCACTTGTCGTTTCCTTTCGACCATCCGGCCCCAAAACAACAAAAGTTCAAAATAATCATACTCAAAAGGCTGGGTGTGACAGGCCTCAAGCAGATGTCCGATGGGCTCTGCGGTCACACAAATCTCTTTCAGGTACCTTAAGAAGAAATAGCCTTCCACGGTGTGGGCAGCCGGGAAGTGTCAACCGCCCTCACAACTCTGTCAGCACCCAAGTTTCTTCTGACTGCTATCCTCCTCCTCCATCATTACCTTCTAATCTTCCTTCACGTCTCTTAATTAATGATGCTGCATCATCTTCAATTTCTCCTACCTCTGCAGCCTTCGACAACGATCTGAGTCCACAGAACAGCATCCCTGGTCTCCTTAAACCACGCTCCAAATTACATATTGGAGCCTTCAATGTCCGCACCCTCCGTCAAATTGGCCAACAGGCTTCGTTGGCAAAGACTCTAGCAACTCGGGCATGGATGTGTGCTGTGTTTGTGAGACACGCATACAGGACCCAAGTGTGGTTATTCACCTGACCTCTCCTGACCAATCTGGTGAATCTGCAAAATTCACCCTTCGAGTTTCTGGAGATTCGATAGCTAGCTCTCGTGGTCTTGCAGGTGTAGGTATAGCATTAAGCACCAGGGCAGAAAACTCACTACTAGACTGGATCCCAGTTGATAGTCGCCTCTGCGCTATGAGGCTGAACGGCACAGTGAGAACTAAAAGGAATAGTGAGACTCGCCGTTGTCTCTTTGTAATCTCTGCTTACGCACCCACTGACTGTAGTTCGGATGAAGTGAAGGACGAGTTCTACCATAAACTGTCTAACCTCCTCTCGAAAGCCAAACGTTCGGACGTAGTGGTTGTTGCAGGTGACCTCAACGCACAGGTGGGTAGACTGAGTGAGGCAGAAAGGCACTTAGGTGGCACTTTCGGAATCCCAGCTGAACGTACAGATAACGGTGATCGCCTATTACAACTATGCTCAGATAACCGCCTATTTTTAGCCAGCACAAATTTCAGACATAAAGAAAGGCACTGTCTGACCTGGCGTCCACCGAGCTCGACTCAGCGATGGACACAGATAGACCACATTGCTATTAGTCATCGCTGGAGAGGATCGGTGGAAGACTGCCGCTCCTTCTGGAGTACGTGTTTGGACAGCGATCATGCGTTGGTCCGAGCACGTATATGCCTGCGTCTCAATGGACGTAGAAAAAATTTGGCAACAAAACCACTACGAGTTCTGCTGGACAACGAAAACACCAAAGCCGTGTTCAGTGAGAAGTTGGCTAGGCAGTTATCGGAACAAAAGACTGTCACTCATCCAGAAGAAGCTTGGTGCCATCTTCAGTCTACTGTAAAAGCAGCACTGGAGACTGTAGCCGACTCCAAGATAATGGCTAAAAAGAGCCAGTGGATATCAGCAGCTTCTTCCAAACTAATGGATGCACGTGAATGCATCCCTGCAGGCTCTGAGTACAATGAAGAGCGAGCGCAACTTAAAAATGGATTGACGAAAAGTCTGCGCAACGATCGTGAACAGTGGTGGGCAGCAAAGGCTAAAGAGATGGAAAAGGCAGCGGCGATCGGTAACAGTAGACAGTTATTTAGACTTATTAAGGAGACTGGGGGAAAAAGGTCAACAACAGTTAGTGAGGTTATAGCGGAGAAGGACGGATCTGTGATTCACTCGCAGGGAAGGCGACTGGGACGATGGGCAGAACACTTTGAGGAACAGTTTAACTGGCCTCCAGCCATGATTGCGCTGCCCGCTATCCAGTCGGACCCTGAATGGGACATAGAGACAGGCCCCCCAACACTAGAAGAAGTTGAGAAAGCGGTAGGTAGCCTGAAACGGGGAAGGGCAGCAGGACCAGACGGACTACCTGCTGAGGTATACAAGAATGGTGGTAGAGTGCTCCTGGTCAGGTTAACGGAAGTGTTAGCCAGTATATTGGAATCAAATACGATCCCCTCCGACTGGTCTAAGTCACTGATCATCCTAGTCTTCAAGGAAGGCGAGAAGTCCTCTTGTGATAACCACAGAAGAATCAGCCTGATGAACATATAGGGTCTGAGATCCTAAGTTCTGTAATTCTCCGACGCCTGAGTGGAGCTCGGTAACAGCAAGCCCGAGAAAACCAAGCAGGATTTAGACCTGGCCGCGGGTGTATTCCCCAGATATTCTGAGTGCGCTAGGTTCGGGAACACAGACACGCTTACCGGTGCCCAATACTAGCTATATTTCTCTACCTGAAGGTGGTGGCATTTGACTCCGTTGATCGAGAAGTCTTATGGCAATGTCTTTCACTGAAAGGCGTGCCGAGTAAGTGCATCACTTTATTCAAAGCTCTCTACTCGAACACTTGTGGGCATGTTAGAGCCTATGGTGAGATTTTAGATGAGCTGTACTCATAGAGTGGTATCCGTCAAGGGTGCCCACTGTCTCCATTCTTATTCAATTTTATCATATACACTCTTATGGAGGTCTCCCTTTTTGTCACCAGGTTATACAGACGTTGACCTCACAGCAGAATTTTCGTTAGACCTAGAACACGCAGATGACATAGTCCTGTTAGGTGAAGACGCTGACAAAATGCAGTCTTCTGAACACTGAGTGGGAAGTTGAGAATGTTTGGGATGCGTTTCTCACCACCCAAATGCAAATCTTTGCTCCAGGATTGGTCTTCAACGGTGCCATGGCTAATAATAGAGAGTGTAATGGTTGAGTGTGTTGAACACTTCACTTATCTAGAAAGTTCGACCAACCCTAGTGGCTCAGTGGTCGATGACATTTCTACATAATACAAAATGCTGGACTGGCTTTTGTTAACCTAATCCACCTGTGGTGCCGCCATGATATTCGATTGTCTATTAAGTGTCACGTGTACTACACAGTAGTCCCCTCTATTCTACTATATGGCTGTGAAACATGGCCATTGAAAGTGGAGGATACAAAAAGGCTTCAGGTGTTTGATCACCGTTGTCTTCGTAGTATAGGACGTATTCCGTGGTGTCACCATGTAAGTAATGCAGAAGTTAGGTGTAGAGTTTTGGGGAGCAGAGGTAAATCGGTAGACGAGGTTATGAACCTTCATCGACCTAGATGGTTGGGACATGTACTACGTATACCCAGTCACCGATTGCCTCGTCACACAATGTTGGCTGAGGTGGGTCCAGGCTGGAAAAAGGCCCGAGGTGGCCAGACTAAAACATGGCACCAATGTATGAAGTCTCTGACTGTTGGTTTGAGCCATGTAAGGCGATGCAGACTAGGTGGTTGGGGTCAGCGGGACAAGAGGAACCAATGGTTGGAGACTCTAGGGGATATGGCTCAGAACCGAAGTCAGTGGTGCAGGTGGATACATACGTTATCCTCATCTTAACAACGCTATATCGAACCTCACCGTTTTCTCATTCTTCTTTTCTCTCCTTTCGTACTTTATATTTCTCCTGACTGAATTTTCTTCATCTTCCACTTCACCTGCGTTTTTACTTGATGTACTGACATACGTAGCAACTCGGACCGTTGTGCGGTAATGCCTGGTCCTAGGTTGATCTGGATGGATGTTGGACACTCATAACTTAGTACTGAGTTAGTGAACTTTTAATATCTATCTAGGTGTTATTTTCAATGCTGCTTCATAATGTAACCCCTGGACGGTCATCAGAAGTACTGAAACCGATCAAGAGGCATCTCGTAGATTATCCGCGCTATCAGAATGGGAAAACTATTATACCTTTTTAAAATTCATTATTTCATAAGTGTTCATTCGGAATGAATAGCTAGTTACTTTATGATGCTTGGTTGAAGCTTTTTTTCATGGAGTCCACCACGGAAAAGTAACAAGGGATTTCCATTTATCATTAGTATTTTGTTGAGACATCTTTGATATCGAGAAATTCTGCAAGCTTTTGACTTACTCGACTTCCAGGTGATGGCTCATGGACTCGAACGCAGTCCCGTCTACCGCGTTTTAGTCGGCCAGGTTGTATCATTATCTCTCGCCTAATAGGTGTGGTTTATTGCCGACTGCACGAACATACAAAAGCTTGCTATCTGAATTTCTGGATAGTACTGAAATGTTTGTCTGATCAACCAAAAGCTATTTCAGGTAGTTTGATTGGCAGTCGGTGAGTCACTCCACTATATTGGAACGAGTTAACCTGACTGAATAAATAGATAGCTACCTGTCATTTATCCACATAAAAGCTGGACAAAACTATCAACGAAGGAGGATTTCTATCTCGTGAGCATCTACATTTCATAGCTAAATTTGTAGAGTTCTGGGCCATTAACCCTCGGTCTCTTAGTAAGAATTCTGTTACGGTCCCTATT